AAAACTCGGGTAGAAGAACCTAATAATACTATTGAACATCACTAAAGTAGAGAAGACCCCATTTCTATACCAACACGGAACCATGAATCTGCACCTAAGGAAAGTCTTGAAAACTTACATTGGCCGATTGCTTTGAGAAAAGGAAAGAGAACTTGTACCAGATATCCTGTTGCCAGATATATTTCATACAAAAATTTATCTCCTCATATGAAGGTATTTGTAGCTAATGTTGAAAGCGAAAATATCCCTAAGAACTTTGAGGAAGCAATCATAGATCCCAAAAGAAAAAAGGCTATAGAAGAAGAATTGAGGGCTCTAGATAAAAACCAGACATGGGAAATCATTGAGTTGCTTGAGGGAAAGTCAATTGTAAGTAGTAAGTAGCTTTTCACAATAAAATACAATCTTGATGGGAGTATAAACAAATATAAGGCTTGATTGGTTGCTTGGGGCTTTACTCAAACTTATAGTATTGATTACCAAGAAACCTTTGCACTTGTTGCTAAGCTTAACTTAGTAAAAGTTTTGTTGTCTCTTACTGCAAATCTAGATTGGCCTCTTCATCAACTTGATGTCAAGAATGCATTCCTAAATGGTGATCTTGAGAAGTTTATATGGAAATCCCATTGGGATTATGAAACTTTCATAATTCTCACAAGGTTTGCAAGTTGATCAAGTCTCTGCATGGCTTGAAACAATCACTGAGGGCATGGTTTGAAAAATTTACTTGGGCTATCAAAGCCTAGGGATACAAACAATGCCAAGCAGATGATACTCTATTTGTTAAACATTGTGATGATAAAATGACAGCTTTCATTGTGTATATTGATAATATAGTTTTAACAAGAAATGATGATGGGGAAATTGTCAAACTAAATGACAACTTAGCAACCAAATTTGAGATCAAAGATCTTGGATTGTTAAGGCATCAATGTTAATTAAGGCTTTGTTTGGTTCACATTATAACCTATATTGGGGGGGAAAAAGCGCATTACCTATTCTTCTTTCTCCTTCTTATCGAGTTCAGATTCTCTACAAATCTTCTTTCTCCTTTTCTTCTTCTCATGTATCATCTCCACCATCAAATAATAACATGTATAGTTCAGATTTAATTGTTTTTTTATCAACAAGTTTAATTGTTTTTTAAAATAAATTTAAACTATCAAACTTGACCTGCATGGCTCACAACTGCATCCCATTATTAAAATTTTTTATAAATTAAAATTTTTATTTTTTTATTTATTTATTTTTTATAAATTTTGAATTTGAGTTTGAGTTTTAACAATTTAAATTTATTTGTTTATTTTATTGATGGCACTTGGTTCAACTAGTCCAAGTAATTGAATCAATTTATTCTATTCTATGGTCTCAAGCGTGAGTCATGGGATAACAAATGTAGCAAAAATATCCCCAAGATACTCGTAAAGCTATCATTATAATAATGATGCCACATAATGGGGAATTATTCAGAGCATTCCTTATCTAAGCTAAAGGAAGAGATGGGATGAAGAAAAGAAATGAATAGGGAAAAAATGGGGCAGGAAAATGAGGGAGGAGCCATGGACATGATCTTCTCTCCTCCTTATCTTCACTCTTGTTGTCAGTCTCTTCTTTGCTCTATCTTTAGTCCTCACAAAGCCATTGCCTTCTCTTGCCTCTATCATCATTCGTGTGAGTTCTATTGAGGTTAGCATTGTCTTGTTTGTTCGTAGCTAGCCATTCATTGTTTGTGGGTTCTTGCATCGTCTCTTGCTCGTTCGTCTCTTGCATTGTGCCTCAAGACATTTTGATAGAAGCAGATTTTTGATTTGGCATCACTGATCTTATGCTTGAAGGAAACACACAAACCCTGGAGAATTTTCTCAACGGCATTGACATGTTTAAGAGCTGTAACTCTAAAAAGTAGGTAATCAGCAAAAGAAGAGATGAGAGAGAGGGAGAGAGAGGAGGCCCACACTTTCCAAGCTTGATAAGCTCCCAATTGCCTCTCTTCACCTTCGTATCAATGACATGTGAGAGTCTTTTCATATAGAGCTCAAAAATGTGGGGAAGAGAGTATCCCTATGGTAGATGCCTTGTCAAGGTTGAAAGTACCTAGCAGTGGAAAAGCTAGGATCCTAAATCAAAGGGGCAGAACAATATAATTTAAAAATTAATAATCAAAAAAATAATATTTTAATTTTTTAAAATTAATTACATTAGGCAAAAAATATAATAACATAAGTAAAATTATACATATTTTTATTTAGACAAAATATGTTGAGCCTTTTTTTTGTCAAAAATATGTTGAGAAGGTTGATATATAATATGGACTCTCAAATGTTTTTTTTTTATTGAGCCTACAAAGTTCAAAATAATAAAAATATGAGGTGCAAAATTGTAAATTTTTTATGCTATGTATGTGAATATTCCCATGTGAGGGGGTGCATTCGCCCCCCTCACATTAACGTGTCTCTCCCATTGGTGCTTGGTAGGCTTACCATTCTAGTTGATATGCATGGATGAGTTTGTAATGCACTTTATGATTATTCGAACAAATCTTGGCGGAAATTTGGAATCAAATGAAGTATTCTTGATGAATTCTCATATCAAGAAGTCAAAAACCATTTTAAAATCTACTTTGATTGCCGAATGGCTTTGATTTGATCCTTGAAAACAATGTTAATGTTATGAATGGCATTAGACAATAACTGTGATGGATGTTTACTGTCAAAGTACTTCCCCTTTGGCAAATACGAGCATATTATGTTTTTGATTTGGATGATGTTTGGTTTTAAATGTTTGGAATTTGAAGATTGTATCTGTACTGTACGTGAGCTTTGTGATATGACTTTGGATATGTTGGATTTTAAGGTTCTATAAAACCAGTTGTATAGTTGAATTATACTTATGAAAAATGACAGTTAGATTTTAAAAGATTAAATCAATGACAGTTAAATTTCTAATATAATTTTCTTAAAAATGAGCTGTAAATATTGATTTAAATAGTTACAAACAATTTTTTTTATAATGTAATAATTACATTTAACAATTAAATACTTATTCACAATTGAAACTCATAAATTTGCAATTATCTATATCAATATTTCTAATTTATTTTTTAAAATTGTTGTCAGTGATTTAATTGTCATTAATTTATTGTTCAAAGATCCAATTATCATTCTCCCTTGTGTTTAGGATCCCAATTCTCTATACTTCTAATACACAACTCATCCAATGGTGTCATAGTTAAATAAATTTTGTGGACAATATGGAGATTAATAATCAATGGATGATTAAGATTGTTTAAATATCTCAGCGATTTGGTATTGTGCTTACTTCAGAAAATGTAATATTTAGACATATAAATGTAAAGTTTAAAATTAATATAGAGATATAGAAAACGTTGTATCAAGAGAGAAACCGCAGACAAATGTGCTATGATATGATTTGTTTCTAAAATCCACGACCATTGCATTAGGCTTGTGCCACAATGGCACCAACAATCCTTATGTGACAAGAAATGTGGGCATTCGAACCCAAAATGAGGCGTTGCTGTGTCGAGGGTGAATATGTTCTCTTTTTGAAAAAAATGTGTGTAAATATGAGTGGATGAGTTTAGAAAAATAGTGTATGAGCGGGTGAGTTTAGGAAATGAGTATAAACATAAGAGGGTGAGTGTGTGCAATTATAATTGTTCTAAATGAATCATGCATTGAACAAAAAGTTGGACTATTTGTTTAGTACAAGAAACTCTTGCTTGTACTATGATCTATTTACCATCACCATGGTTGGAGAAAAGTTTTTATTTTCCTTTTCTAAAATTAATAAAAAAGGTGATCTATCTACCATCAAATTTACTTGTTCTCTCACTCTACAACAATCACAAATTGAGAGATAGAGCCGGTAATTCAAGCAAACTGAGCTCAATTCAGGCTAACGTATTCGAATCGGATTTAAAATATCATACTCTTTTTAAAAAACTCATATAGCTAAGTCCAACCTTAACTTTTTTCGAGCAAGTTTAAGCTAGTTCGTCAAATTTAACCCAATTTACTAACTCTATTGAGGAGGGCATGCAGGGTCATGGGTCATGGCCTCCATACTCCAATTTTTTTTAAAAAAAAATATAGGCATAATTTTGTTTAGGAAAATGTAGAAATCAAAGTTAGCCCCTTGATAAAATGATAAAATTTTAGTTATGGCCTCCTCACATAATGATTTCTAGATTCCTCCCTACAAGTTTTCCCCACGAGGTTTTCAAATGGACTTATATACACAGCACAGGACAATGACTCATCCAACTTAATTATCAGGATGTGATATTTTAACCCCCCCCCCCAAAAAAAAGAATAACCTACAAGCCCATTAAAATAAAGACAAGAAAACAGAGCACCATACAAGGGTTGTGTTCAATTTCTATATTAACTCATAAATTGAAGACCCAAGTAATTAATCAAATATTATTTCATTATATAGTTATCCTTATCCACCAGACCGGTTAATAGATCGATCATGGGAGTTTCAAAACAATACAAAAAAGACCAAACGATATGTTATTATATGCACTCCATCCTATCCATCCTATTCTTATTATAAGTCACTTCTAACTACCTCACTGGAATTAAAGATTAAGTCATTAATATTATCTGAGATTAGAATAAACTTCCAATTTTATACTTATTTAAATGAAAAAAGTTGCAAATTTACATTACATTCTCTCTTGTAGTTAATGAGTTTAAATAAGAGAAATATTGAAAAAAAAAACATAATTAATATCACATCAAATGTCTTATATTAAACCCTAAACCCTAAACCCTAAATCTTTCTCACAAGGAACTGGAGGGAGTACACTTTAAACCAAGCTGGTGCAACATATGCATCCTTTGGAAACATGGCACGCTTGTCAAAGTAAGAAAGTCAAATAAGGTTGGTTGTGTGTGGGAATATATGCATCGGTAGTGTACAAATCTAATTCATTTTCGGAACAAGAGGACACAAAGCAACCATGATAGCCACTATAAATATAACAACATAAATTATTGGGCTAAAGTACAAAAATGCTCCAGGAATTTTCAGTGAGGCATAATTAGTATCCTGAAACATTTAATCGCACAATGTTGCATCAATGTTTTAAAAAACAGTACAATTCTTCTCAAAATGCCAAAGATTTGTTTAAAGTTATTGGCTTAACAACTTCGTTCAATCTCTTAGTCGTTTGTTCGCTTGGTTTGCATGTGGATGTTGGCAAGTGTAGGAGAATGATAACAGTTGGGGAAGATGACGACGAAAAGAAGGAAGAATAAAACGAATTGAATACGTGGCAATGATTTAAAAAAAATGGATTTCACTTTCAGACAAGAAGTCCCATGTGGCCCGCCATCAAGGCATTTACTGGTTAAAAGATCAAAATAAATTATCAACATGGTCAAACCATCAACTCGGGGCAAAATTGTAGTGTTTTGAAAAACATTGGAGCAACATTGCATCTTTAAATATATTAGGATACCAATTATGCCTGCTTGAAAACTTCAGAGGCAGATTCATATATTAACCCTGAATTATATAGCCAATGTTGTTAATCATTCTTACACATAAGTTGGAGAAAGTAGAAACTCAGGTTGTTGTCTCTGTAAAAGTATCCCGCAAAAGGGACACAAGGGTTTTGCGGCCACTGCTAGGGTAGATGAGTTGACGGAACAGTTAAACTCTACAGGATAAGCAGACATTTTAAAGAGTACATCTGGCGCCAGTCTAAAAGCTGACCGATGGCAACAAGTACAGAACCATAGTGGAGTAATGGGGCAAACCTGCATACTGGTGGCACATCTCAATAACCTGTGACACTGACCTTTGCCACCACTGTAATCCTCACCTGAGCAAAAACCAACCTCAGGGGATTCAAATGGAACAGATGCTGAGCAAAAACTGCAACGTTCTGCTGCTATAAGTTCATCGGACACAAGCCTGTTAACAGATTTACAAAACTGTAATTAGCATATTCGAAGTTTTAAAATTCTTCTTGAAAGAAAAAGATCATCTGATTTTCGCAGCTAGAATTCACCATGTATCTGCCAATTAAAGTTCATGCATGAAAACCACTTTAAAGAGAAAGTCTTGCATGGACCTAGTGCACCACCATGCCATTTGTAAACTCTAATAAAATTGCACTATTTCAATCAAATAAAATCTTGTATCATTATTTCTAGTGATTTTTATTTGGAAATAAGGTTTCCCTTTGATTTCTTGCAATTTCTCCCCCTATTATTATCAATTTATATTTACAGCCATATAACATGACATTTTTTTTATTTGATAGTCTACAAATGATGTAGTACATTGGATCTATGCAAGAATTTCTCCCACTTTAAAATATATCCATGCTTCAATGATCCCAAAACTAGTTGGCTCATCACGAGTAGGGGAAAAAAGGAATGCAGAATTCTGTAGAGTCACAGGCCAAAAAGTCTCCTAAAAATAGAAAGAAACTTCCGAAGTTCAACAAGAATAAACAAGAAGAAATTGAGGGAATGATCCACTAAATATGGTCACATTCTGACGATCATTTTCCATCAATTTAAAGCTTTCAATAAAGTATAGTTTCTGTTAAGTTATTAGTCAAAATGAAGTCCAACAAGTCCACGTGTATAAACAAAGCATTCAAACCACTACGGCAAAAAATGAATCTGTATCATTTAAAACATAACGCCAGAACTAGCAACCCGCACCTTTTCTCATTTGTAACTTCTGATGCAAGGACTTTCAATTGGTCGCGTGCATTATCCTGATGTAATTCCACCCATTGTTTCATCTGTGCTATTCCAAAAGGATGCCAATGGACAGGATGGGAAGAAGTTGCTTCTGCATAGGTCAGGTTGGTTACCAAAGCAGAAAAACTAAAACCTATTAACCTTTCTCGGAGCTCCCTTTCACTGCTCAGAAGAATCTCTACCCACTTAGTAATTTGATTTTCCTTGGAAAAAGTTGACCCTCCTGAGTTTAGAAGTTTGCTGTCTATTCTATTTATTTGATCAGCATCCAGTTCTGCTAACATCACACGTCTACAGACTATGTTGAGCAGGTGAAGCAAGCGAGAAGGAATATCCGACAATTTTGAAGAGACCTTTGACAAAACCTTTTCAGCTGGAAGGTCCATATGGGATCCCAGAAAGGACATTGAGAGCCACTTGATAAGTATATGTTCTACATACATTGAATTGATCCCCTTGAAAGCCGATAATGCTGCTATTATATCCCAAAGAACCAGAGGCTTATCAAGGCAATGATATTGCTCAAGGAAGCAAATGATGTTGGATCCCCAGTTAATTAATTCTTTCTTTGGCAAATTGGAATATTCCTCAGGCGCATATGAAAAGGGTAATCTTGACGGAACACCCATTTGCTGCCCACCAATCCAAAAGTATTCAATAGCTGCCCTCAAAATCCTGCCCATATTCATTAGAAAATGCTAAATTTTCTTATTAATAGATTTTTCATCAAAGCTCTACTTAAATTTAGAAAAAGATAAGGAAAGACCCAAAAAACGTAAACCAAGAAAATATGATTCACCTTGCTTCATACATTCGGTTCAGTTTCTCAATATCAAAGCAACGAACCTGAAATCATGAAGCAAATTAGTCAGTGAAATTTTGCATAATATGGCTACAATCAATAAGGTCAATTTTGATAAAACAATAGATGTATACAAGTAACTAGTGTAGTATGCATGATGTCATACAGTATAATTCACACATATATGGCTACAGGCAGTTGAAGAACTGTCCGGGATCCAATCAAGAGTAGATAACACAGATTCAAAGGATGGGAACATAAAAATTTTAGGCCTTAATGCAGCCTTGACAAGTTTTGAGCATAAGCAATGATAGAGGTAGCCAAAAGAAAGAGAGCTGTATGATGGTATTCACAGAACGCAAAGATCACTTATCAACTCATGGCTGGTGCAAGTAAGCTACATAAACAAATGCAAAGGAAAACAACTTATTTATGGTTTGACATACCAACTATGTAGCACATACTGGGTCCACTTGGATATGGACCTGTCAGAGGCTTCTAAAACAAATTAAACATTATTAACTTTTATTCTAAGCATCTGACACTTATTTCTAATCTACTAGAAAACAACATTAAACTATATTATTCAACATATTCACATACAACAAATATATATATATATATATATAGGGAGAAAAATTTAATTATCTCATCAAGGAGGAGTTTATAGTCTTTCCTTCATCTATTTTTAGGCAATTTATGTCTAAGTAACCAAAAGAAATTGGGAAAATGACAATTAGGGACCCTACATTATTGAAATCCCAACAATGGACCATGGTCCTTACTAGATATTAAAAATATACTTGAGTTTACCAAATTGCCCTCCACTAAATGTAGAAAATAGCTGTAGTTATTTTGATAACATGACACTACTGAAATTACTATCATGGCATAGGAATATTGTTAATCTCAGATGGAAATCAAGGAATAATAGTTAGGAATGGATTATTTCCTAGTACAAAACTAAAATTCACTTTTGAAATTTTCCAAAGGTACTTATGAATATACAAAAGTCACTTGAAAATTTACCAAAGTCATTTCTGAATATGAACCCAATTACTTATGAATTTTTATGCTTGTTAATATATAGGTAAACAACTGTAAAAGTAAAGAAACAACTATCATGGCATGAGAATATTGTTAATTTTAGTTGGGAAATCAAGGAACAATAGTTGGGAATTGATTGTTGTATGAAACTAAAATTCACTTTTAAAACTTTCCAAGGATACTTGTGAATATACAATAGTTACTTGAAAATTTATTGAAGCTACTTCTAAATATGAACCCAATCAATTGTAAATTTTTATGCTAATTGATATATAGGGAAATTTCTTTATTTTCCAAGTTGTCTACTTATATATTAATAAGCATTAAAATTCACAGGTGATTGTATTCATATTCACAAGTGACTTTAACAAATTTCCCAATGACTATAGTATATTCAAAAGTGTCCTTGGAAAGTTTCAAAAGTGAATTTTAGTTTCCTACTAGAAAACAATTCATTCACAACTATTACTCTTTGGTTTCCCAACTAAGATTAACAATATTCCCATGCCATGCTAGTAATTTCATAGTGTCATGTTATCAAAGCAATTGCAGCTATTTTCTATATTTAGTAGAGGGCAATTTTGTAAACAAGTATATTTTTAATACCAAGTGTGGACCATGGTCCATTATTAGGATTTCAATATTTTAGGGTCCCTAATTGTCATTTTCCCAAAAAAAATTTTACATCAGGACATAAACGTATGCATGTTATTCAACTAGAGAGAAAGTGTCATGGTGGTGGTGCAGGTGACCAATATGCCTAAAAATTGGTGGTCCATGTTTTATAACAACTAAGTGAACGCACTAGATGCCCATTATTGTCATTTTATGAACAGGGTAAAAATTTCTGTAGCATTTCAACCATAAGCTTGAGGTATTAAATGATGAAGGCCCATGATCATTGGTTCTCTAACAAAAACAATGTTTACTCTAGTGAGCTAGTAATAACAACACGTATATATATATATATCTAAAGAGGAATAGAAATGGTAATCAAACAATTTTCCCATAAAATTTGAAGAAAGAAAAATATATTTTCAAAGCAGCATACCATACCGTGGCAATGACAAGATTTCCAGGAGAAACTGCAACACCAAAACATGAAGCATACACATCTGTTGAAGGCTGCAACAAACAAAAGCATTTGTTCAAGTAAAACAAATTTATACCCAATCAGGGATAGGAAGTATATAAGACGCTAGGGATTACACAAGTTGGATTGCTACTATTGAGGATGTCAGAACAGATGATAACTTCATTGAGTTGTCTCTCATGAAGAATCCAGCTGCGCACTAAATTGTCCTACAATCGTTTCAAACAGGCATCCAGCTGCAGTTATTTTGTTGAATTTCCAGAAAATTAGTCACACACTAATACATCCTCTCTCTAAGTGTATTTTCAAAATGAAGCGAGACTGTAAATAAATCAGGTTTGATCAAATTGGAGAAGGAACACAACCGTAGAAGGCATAAAATGAAACAGATTAAGAAAACTCAGCATAGTTTAATGGAAATAAACCTGCAAATCAATTATGGAATAAGATATAGCCTTAACTACTATTACCTGGCTACAGCTGCACAAACACCTTCCATTAAATGCCCAGACCAAATTGGTGACCTAAAGAAAATTTTAAAAATGTAGAAATCCACAAGGGAATGCAACCTCAATGAACTCAAGGAAAAAAAAATACTTACAATATGATCATGCGCATCATATGATCCAAGCTTATGAAATTCATTACAAGATAAGTCACACAGCCATATTTCAAAGGAGCCAGAACCTTTGCCAATGGCTAAAAGCATCTCAGAAGACTGGATTGGCATGGTTGCTGAAAGTACAGAAACTGGGGCAATATTGACTGTTATGACCTATTAAGGAAATGGAACATTGAATTAGGACTATAGGGTATAGGCATAATCCATAAAGAAGAAAAATCATATAAAAAGAGATGCAGAAAATAAGTAGGAAGTACCTCCTTCAATAGAGAAAATAGAGCTTGATTCGCTTCTGATGATCTCAATAATTTGCCATTGTCGCCCAGCCAAACCTTCACACTGCCAAGCCATAGGGTAAATGAAATGGTTTTGAGACATGTGATTGTCATTTAGAGGCTTAAGCTGTTATCTAGAGGCTTCATAATGGTTTGAACTGTTAATCCTGCTCGCACAACAGGCTTTTGTGGCTTGAAGCATTGACCAGAAACAAGCCTACTTAAACCACAAACTAAAAGGTTAATTCAATTAGGAGGATCAGGGTGGTGAGGGTTGAACCATTGATCATTTAGACAAGAATACTATGATTCCTAGTCAATAATATCAATGACTTCATTTCGGCTAAGCAAGAAAATGAAGATTTACAATCACACGTTCCAAGGTAGGTTGTTAATAATTTCAGAAAACCTAATAGTGATGACTAACTGGAAACATTAAGGAAAATGGATGAATTTGCACAGATAGATTTATTTTAATAGCATTAGAAGCATTTCAATTTTTCTTAAGATGATGCAGTCAAAGCACAATCAATTGATCACAGCATGTGACTCCAGGAGTTTGTTTGTTGCTTAGCAAGATCAGGTAACAAAGAAAATAAATATAACAAGTTAATGAGCATGCCTAACACACCTCCCATCAGAGCTTCCAGTAGCTAATAAAATCTGAGTATTTGAAAAATCAGAAGGAAATAACACCCAACTTATTGAAGTAACCCATGAACTGTGAGCTTGCAAAAATCCAACGAACTTCACAGCATTCTGAATGTTGCTGTCCTGAATAGTATAGCAATCCGGTGCACAAAATCTCCAGAAAGAAATTTTACCACTCTTCCCTCCAACAGCAAGGAGACTAACAGATGCATTAGCATTAGGAACTGGATGAAATTCAGATGTTTCATGCAGCAATGGAGACCAAGAAACAACTAGTGCAGACAGCATTGCGCTACGATAAGCATATTGATCAGCAGCAATCAGTGGCAACAACATGTGGTTCTCAGATATTGTTTCCGAGGATTTATCATTAGATTCAGACATAGATTCCATCTGAGCTGATGCAGTTATCTGGAGGTCTGACCCAATAATCTCAGACAACTGAAATCAAGAAACCACAAACATGAGCGTTTCTTATAGAGCTAAATCATGAACTAAAATAATTTAATGTTGTAAGGATGAAAGAACAACTATTGGCAAGCATATTTTGTACTTTTTATCATCCAGCAAAGGAGGAGTGATAAAATTTGTTTCTTGTTCATACAACAGAAAAACACACAAAAAGATTAATTCTTATTTTTCATTAAAAAAGTCCCATACAGCATTCAATCTCCATCCTTCCGTATCATTATAGGGGCTAGAACAAGAGTTTCCATCCCTACAAATTGTTGGCAGTAACAATTGATTCCCAGAATCACTGGAGACATAATTGCTGCCACAAAAATATTAAAACAGAGTTAAAAGTTAATTATTCAATGTAATGTTGCATAGCATAATAAACTAGACACTTTTTACAATGTATTACATGAATTTTGAGAAACAATCAATATTCATGACTTTTAAATAGTGTGACTTACAATAGATTTTACTATACATATATTATTAATATATTAATTATAATGCATTAATTGCATACGCTTTTCTTTTCTTACGTCCCTTCCTTGAAACATCTAGCATGTCACCAGCTGATTTTTGCTTTGCGACCTGCATCCAACTGAGGATGTTACAAAGTTGATAAAGAAATAGATTATAATCATGTCAACTAAGACTCCCAAAGAAGAGTTGTAGAGTGAAAACCGATGGTAGAAATGAATGATTAAGACAACTTACTATACTTAAATCTCCAAAACCAGTACATTGGAGATACTCAAACAGCCTTTCTGTCAAGTCCAAAACCTAGAGCGAATGAAAAGAATGGAGCATTATACTATCAATAAAATACATAGATAAGAAGTAATTAGAACATTTTATTTCTTTGCAATGAGTAGTCCCATGGTTGACTAAGGGGCTTGGCACAAAATACTATTATTTTACATCTAACCTGTGCATGTATTTTTACATCACCTAAATGTATCAAAAGATGCTCCAGTTATAAACCATAATATGTTGATGCAAATAAGCTTCTAGCGGCAATAACATTAACCACCATTTTGAATTTCACATGACAAACCATTACTGCCGCATGTACCTCAACCCATTCAGCACAGAAATCACAAAAAGGCGGACGATAAACCTTCACATTTCCTTCTGTAGTACAAACAGCTATCAAGCACCTATAGCAAGTTAAATCATAAATACTCATCACATGCATAAAAATATTATTGATTCATAAATGAAAAACTTGTCACTCTTTTGCCTTCTAAGATCAGGTTAAGACAAAAAATCATTCAAAAATTGAATATAAAGTACATACCCTGCGTTTGCAGCAATGCCAAGCGGAGACCATGATAATGATCGGACAACAGGCTTATCATCTCGGGCCAAACATGTTGGCAGGAGGCATCCAGAGAGTAAGTCTGCGTAGAATTGAGTTTACATGGCACGTTAATTCTTTGTAGCTCTCTCTCGGTTCTCTTTCATTCAATTCAGCCTACCTAAAACAGAAATAAGTGTTTGAACTATGCATCCTTCCATTGTGGTATTTTTACAAATCCTATTTTAGCTCTCCCTTACCTGTCAAATCCAACAGGTATCATTTTATTCTTGAGAATGACAATGGGCAGAGATAATCAATAAAATTAATACTAATTACATGATGCAATTATGCAAGCTAGATTTGGCTCTTTACCCTAATATTTGTTTAGGAGGGGGAAAAGCTCTGAAACAGCTGATCTCTTATTTTTTAATTGTACTTACTCAATTATGGTTGTTTGGTATCATTGATGAGCTTTGGGTGAGACCTGAAAATCTAGAGTAATTCCTTTCAACTTTGTTTAAACATTTTAGATGGAGAAAATATGTCAAAGCTCTCTGGCAGTTTGCAGTCTCTCTGGATTTTGTTGTATATAGTTAGAATAAAATGCTCATACATTTAGGGTGTGATTAGCCTATAGTTTTATTTAGGGACTAGGAGTTGTTTATGGCCACATTCAGGCTTTTTTAAGGAGTGCTCTATCAGATATGTGCAGGAATTGATCAACCTGATTCCATCTTCAAGAAGTTTACTTATTTCCTTCTTTATATATATATATATATTTAAGTATTTCCTGCTCCAGGATAATGTTGTAAAAACTTTCCAAAAAAAAAAATATAAAAGATAGTCCATGAATTTTAGATGCCACTTGCTATGGGCAAAAGGATCATCATGTGAACCAGCATCTACAAATTGAAAGGAGCATATGGGAGTGAAAAAGAAAGTTCCTCACGACAAATGTGCTTGATAATTCTCCCATTCAATGCAAGCCATTATTTCAAATTATCAAGTCAACAACAATCGTAACACAAATAATAAACAAGGTAACAAACATATACCTTTTCTTTCTACCACCCCAAAGGGAAGAGGTTCACTGGTTGAGACTGTTATCACGCCACGTGGTCCATGAGGCAACTCTGGTCTCTGAAATAATTTGGGGGGGAGGGTGAGATTCTTTAACTTAAAAGTAAATGCTATACGAATTGTTAAGTAAATTTGTTTTCCGTAGGATTTCAAAGGAATGGCAAGCTCCAATATTTAACCATGGAAGCAAAGCATATTAACTATGGATTAACATTTTTCCTCGTTTGTATTAACATGTACTCTAATTCCAACAAATTCCAGGAAGATTCCACACAAAGTTGAAGGATATTTCACAACAACAAACCCATTGACTCAAATAGATTAGACATAATATTAGTGTTTTGTAGACTTTGATATCAGAACCAATTCAAACAGATTGGACTCAGTCCTGAAAGGTGGCAGAAAGGAGATGAAGGGGGGAGTGCAAAACACTTCAATTCAGACACGACAAAAGGACCCTTCAAGCTTCAACTCGCCGACTCAGCTCTTCACGGCCGTCCCGTCATCGTCACCGTCAAGAGGTCATCGAGAGCTCACGGTTCCATCCTTCAACAACCCACTTTGTTGTCTTCTTCGTTCAACGAGGTCATGCTTATATCCTTGGGCGGACTAGTTCAATGGCTTAGGACTAAAATGTTCTACCCCTAATTTGTTTTTGAAGAAATTTTGCCCCGGTTGAGGGAACCGCAAGTGAGGTGCGTGCTCTATCTTGAGTCTTGCGTGCTCTATAGGAGTTGGTAATATTGAAGGAAGACAAAGAGAGAAGGAGTCGTGGCGTAGCAATGTACAAATTAAATACTAGTAAACTAAAAACACAAGTCAGAGGATGCACGAAGCAATGGAACCGGCACAAAATATGGCAGATGAAAGAATGAGAGAGACAGTGTGTCAGTGAGATAGATTGGTACCAGAATAGTGATGATGTGACCAGAAGCAACGGCAATCAAATTCTCGTCAGACCAGGCAATGGCATTAGGGAATGAAGGCGAACCGAGCAACATCGCGGCCTGTAATGGAGAGGCCATTGCAGCGAGTAGGGAGCGCAGAGAGGCAAGAGCGAACTGAAGAAGCTCGTTCTTTGGGTAATCCTGTACTATTAATTATAATCGTATAAAATCAAACATTAAAAACTAAAAACTAATCCTATAAAAATTAAAATACATCATGCAAGGTCCAAGCACGTATAGATAGAGGCCGAAAATGGGTTGAGTCAACAAGATAACCTGTTTAACCTGTTAAATTTAAAGACTTGGGTTAAAAAAATTAATCTATTTTTTAAAACAAAATTAGTAAGCTAAAACAAACTAAGCTACCCCATTTTTTAAAAATTTATTTTTTTTCAATTACAATACATTTTTTTATAAATTTACAAAAATAATTATTTTTAAAATTTATAATTTATAATTTTTAAATATGTTTTTTATGTTTAAAAGATAATATAAATCTTTTTTATAATTTATAAATGAAATTTTTACTATAGTTTATATAATTTATTATATAAAAATATATTACTTATTAACTTCGTAAGATTTATTGTTTGAAATTGTAAATATAAATTTATTAAGAAAAATAATATGAATTTATGTTTAAATATTTTTTTAAGTGAGAAAGATAACACATTTAGGGTAGAAGATAATTAATAGTAAAAATCTAGCAAAATTGTTTCAATATTTTGGCTTCCTTTTTCTATTTAATTCATAATCCATAAAAAAGCACATAAAAATAATATCAAAATTACATTTAAAACTTACTTCTAATTTTAATTTTTTTTCCTTTATCTCATACCCATTTCTATTATTCAAATTAAACTTACTTTTAGTGGGATATCCAAATCAAAAGGGTTTGGATTACAAAAAATTTTAAAGTACAGTAGCTTTCCAAGAATATAAAATAAAACATTTTAAATTAAAATAGGTGTTGGAAAAATTAAATTTGATATAGTGAACCCATTGTTAAAAAACTGTCCATTTGGCCAAAATAACTTGAGTTTACTCAAGAGTAGTAAAAAAAAAAAAATAAATCCTATTGTGCATATTTGTCTAACAAGATTTAGAGGGGTGATTTAATTTAAATATATATATGATATGTTAATTATAAATTTTAAATCATTTAAAAAAATTAAAGCCGCACTTTATGAGCTCGCTAGCTCGCTAGTATGTAAGTTGGGTAAGGTTTTTTTAATCTATTTATTTGACAATCTGACCCAACCTAACTTGTCAAAACTCTGACTCATGTGAGTTGGCCCATAACTCATTTGTCCAACTCTAAGTGGCTTTATAAATAAGCAAACAAAAACATGTGGAACTCCTACTATATTTATTTATAGGTATGTTGAGATTATTATGCTTCCTAAAAGAAGAGCTTACCTGTATTACATGTCAAATAAACAATTATAATTAGCAAAGATCTATTAAAGGACTGTCAGGTATGCATACCTTACCAGCAGCAACAGTAATGAAGTGTGGCGTGAAGCCTTGAATCCTGCATCACTTGGCAGCAACAGCATCCTGCCAGTTAATATTATGTGACTCACTTGATACTAGCTGATTAGCAGGAAAACATTTCTTTTTTTTTTCTTCTTCTTTTTTATACATAAAAGGGCAGAGCCCAACAGAAAATCAAATATGATGGGATTGTAATCCCAAATGTTCAGCGTCCACAAGGTCCCTTAAAGTAGTGAGGGATCACAACCGATTTGACATAAAGAGGAATTGAGACCCTCTTTTTCTTTCACAAGGAGGTATTGAGGAACACAAAACAATCATATAGTATGTTCTTGATCTAAAACGAAAGGTATAGCACTATTAGGATAACTAGAAACATTGATATCTAAAGGCCATGTGGGTACATAGCATTCTACTCTAGAGAAATACTTCCCAACTTTTCAAATGGAGAAAGTGGTTTGGATACACTTTTTAGCCAAAAAAGTAACTTTCTTCAAAACACATTTAAATGGATTTGAAATTAGATTTTACCAACTGGTGTGTCGGTTTTTAATTTATCAAAAGTCAATTTATTAAAAATTCATTTGATAAAAGTATAGTAAAAATTAATTATTGTAATGAAATTTATATTTAAATATATTTTTTTAAAAACCAATTTGGTAAACTAAAAATTATTTGGGTTATAATAGTAACATGTGCCTTTAAATATATAATTATCAAAAAGAACATTGATTTATAATGATTTATAATTTTTTTGTTATATAGTGTAATATATTAGATAGTTTAAAAAATGTGATAAAAATTTTAAATAATATAAAATTTAATATCTTAAATAATAATAATAATAATAATAATAATAATAATAATATAAGTTAGATATGTTGAAAAAGTTTATTATTATTTTATAACTATATTCAAAATTCATCACAAAAATTTTGCCAATTAATTTTCACATGCAAAAGTAATTTTTATAAATATTTCTTATCAAGTTCCTTAAAAAAATTGGTAATAGAGCATCTCTTCATCCAAAATTATTTTTCTTCTCCACATATGCATTTAAAAACCACGTGAACCACCCATCATATGCCATGCATGTTATGCCATTAACATTTCAAAAGCTGCGTTTTAAAAGCTTCCTCTTGGCAAGTTCCGAATCTACTTTCAATGGATTGTTAAATGTATATTCAAAAAGTCAATTTGGTTAAGCATAAAATTTTTAAACTCGACATTTTAAAAGTGAAAATGTACTTTTCAAATGCTAAAAGTAATGTACTCAAACAGACACTTAGAGCTTCTGAGATGTGCATTTAGGAGGCAAAGCAAAGGCAACGTCTGATGGTTTGGCATGTGAAGGCAAACACACATTGCTTTTTCAACAATATCTTTCGCAAAAATAATAATAATATAATAAATACAATAAAATACAACTTGAATTGTAATTATATTTAAAAAATTAAATGATCTTAGAAAACAATAAAATAGGAAACCTAAAATAAGTCAAATATTTTAATTTTAAACATTAACACTATTGATAAGTCAAATTAACTAAATCGATTTCGTACAAAAATTATTAGGTAATGGAATTTCTATTTTTTATGATTTGTCCATACTTTTTATCTAAAAAAATTATGTTAAACCATTAATATTCTATTATTTAAAATTTTTTATCATATTTTTTAAATATTTCTAATTTATTATATTTGCATACCAAAAATTATAAATCATTATAAATCAATATTCTTTTAATAATTATACATTTAAAAACATATTTCACTATATATAATTTAAATAATTTTTAATTTATCAAACTGACTTTTAGTAAAATGCATATAAATACAAATTTTACTATAATAATTAATTTTTATTACATTAATTTTTATCAAATAAATTTTGACAAATAAAAAATCAAACACGCACTTAGACTTGTGCCCTCCGGTTCATAAAATAAATCTATCAATGTCACTTTGGAAAAAAGTGGGCGTCAAACTTGTAAGAAATAATAATCAAATTCAAACCATCAAAAGTAAGAAACACATGTTTGATTTCCCCAAACATGACATGAATCAAACCTTAGAGAATGTAAGTAGAAAAATTAAGATTCAAACTCGGTAAGCAAATCTTTAGCACATGTAAGTGAAATGCTTAACAAGTAGCCAAAAGTACCATTAGGTTCAATTTCAAGCACACTGCAGAGTAAATGCAGAACTGTTAAACCCTTGTTATGAAAAAGACAAGTAATAATCTGTAATTTTTTTTCCAGCTTCAGTTTAGGGAAAAGAAACCATCAATTTTCTAGATTATAGCAGCTGCAAGAGATTTGCCTACAATAGATATGATATCTAAACCAGGTTTTTGCACTGTAAGCTGTCATATGTTCTGACTTCAAGCATGTGGATTTTCATTTATTAAGGTAGCCAGCAGCGTGATGTGGCTATTTGACAATTTAATATAATGAATCATGTTTTTCTGTGATAAGTCATGAATAGCTTCATCATACATCAGCAATTTGTAGCTAAATATCATGTTATTTTAAAGGGAGAATCACACCTAAGGATCACTTAAAAAAAAAATTCACAAATAAGGATCAATACAAAATAAATTACTGCTAAAATGAAAACACGACTCTTTTTTCTTTTAAAAAAAAATGGGATTTACTGTTAATCCTTATCTATAAATAATTTTCTTAAGTAGTCCTTAAATATAATTCCTCCTAGTTTAGAATGATGACGTTTCCTTTGGGATTATTGCATACTTTACTGAGAAAATGATTTTCCTTTCAATTTTCTTATTGGGTTTAATTAGAGTTACTTAAATGGAGATAGTAGTTTAATTTAATAGATAAATTTTATCATTAAATTGAGTAACTTCTTTGGCGAAAAAGAAATTGATAGCTTCAAATAACCTTTGGAGAGCACTTATTCACTCTCTTGTGACGAAAGAAGCCCTCTTTTCTCACAAATGTGTAGCTAATCCCTTATGTTCGATATGTAAAATGCATCCTAAGACTATAGAACACTTGCTTCTGCTTTGTGAATGGTCTTGATGAATCTGGTTTGGCTCTCCCTTAATTTTAACCATGGATGCTTTGCATATCTCATCTTTTGAATCTTGGTATTGTTTTGTCCTTATTGACGATAGCCCACTAGAGGAATATGACAAGGCATACATAGCTTGTGTCTGTTGGAATATATGAAAAACCAGATCTACCTCAATCTTTCTGTTGCTGCTCTAAATCCTTTGTAGGTTATTAGTTCTACTAGTGCTGCAATTGAGGAATATTGGAAGATTAATCGCCATACTTACTATCTATTCTTCTTCTCAATTGCATTTCAAAACTTTCTGGTCTCCCCCTGATGTTGGTACTATTAAAATTATTTGTAACAGGGCTTTTATGCAACATAAAAAGAAGGCAGCCAAAGGAATAATAGTAAGGGATAACTCTGGTCATTTTGTAAATGGATGGCGGGATCAAATTCATGCTGACTCAAGCTTCATGTATAAACTTCTTTCATGTCAGAAAGCCATCAAAATAGCAACAGATCTTTGTTGTCACAATTTTGTCATCAAGATGGATTGTCTAGAGCTGTTCCGTGCTATCTCATTCAAGGATTTGTCTCATTGCCCTTGTTCTATTCAGGGGATTTTGGGTGACATTATTACAAGCTTTGAGTCTTCACATTTTATCTCTTTTTTAGTTGTTAAGTGAGTTGGAAACTTAGCTGCTGACTAGTTGACAGCCTCTTCTCTTAAGTGTGTGGCTCCAAATGGTTGGATTTTCAACTCACCACTCTCTCTTTCTACTATTTTATTACATGACTCAGGCTCTTTTCATTCATCAGACCAGCAACATGTGCTTAACAGAGATAGGGAAGGTATAGGATGATTTTTGTCTTTTATTTTAGTTTTGTTGCTATGTCTCTGCCATGTTGGCTTCTGGCTCTTTCATGCCGTTTGTTATCTTTGTAGACTGTCTACTTCTAATATTAAGAAAGTTCTTTCGCTGGTAAAATATATATATATATATATATGTATATATAATAACCTAAAACTATTCCCTATTTATTCTTATTTTGTAAAATTTTATCGATTATCAATTAATTCTGTCATTAATAACCTTGCGTTTTTTAATGTTTCATACAACAAGTACGTGCCTGACGGCTCAGTCACATGTTTTATCCCTTTGAAAGCGTGCAATATTTCTGTAGTCACTCAAAAACTATGCAAAATGGATTAAAATAAAATAAAAAGAAAAGATATTCAATGATTATAATATAGATATATTCTAGCCGACAAACGACGGGGATATATTGAAGAGTTTTTTCCATCATCTTCTCAGATCCTGTACAAGTAATAACCTTTCAGAGAAGGAGAATTTAGAACAGTTAATTAGACATTATGATAAGCTGTAATAGTGGCTTGTGCAAAGCCCTCAGTTGGAAGAAGAACTAGAAGCCTACTGAGGAAACCGTAGTTTATATGGATTTTTGTTATGAATCCTAACTATTAATCATTCTTCATTATATTATGGCGTGGTGATAAATTTGTAGAAAAAAGAGTGTATTGATAAAGATATGGAAGGACGGCAGTTAAATCCTAGAACCTTGACAGTCAAGTGCTCAACAAATAATTTTTTAAAAAAAATGAGTTGAAAATATCAGTCCAAATAATTGCAAATTTAAAAATTTCAACTGCAAATAAATATTTAAGTATTAAATATAACTTTTATATTACAATAAAAAATTTTACTTGTTATTGCTTGAATCAATATTTATAACTCATATTTTTTTTTTAAAATGGTATCAAAAACCTAACTATCATTAATTGAATATTTTAGAATCTAATTGTCATCCTTCCTAAAGATATTCATTCACCAAAAACAAGAGCGCGATTGGGTTGAGAAAATAAAAGGGCGTTGTGTGAAGAAAAATGACCAATGAAAGTACAAATTCCCTTTCTTTCTTTATGGGAATTGTTCGGTTTTTTAATTTTTTACATTTAAAAAACATCAATTAAAGATGCTGCTTAATTATCAAGAAAATTATGAATTCCTTTGGTTCTTCCGAAATCCCTTCCTGCTTAACCTACTAGCACTTTCACTGATCCTTGAATCAATTTAGATTGTCCTGCATTTTTTTTTTAACCAGAAAGATTATCTGACAAATTAAGAGTTCTATTTTATTTAGTGTGCTTTTTTTTTTTTCTGAACAAGTTATTTGGGGGGGGGGGGGTAGGGATGCTTGCATATCTCCAACAGTTCATAAAGAAAACATATTTTTCAACCACTCTCAACTTTAATTTCCAGCAGATAAAGCTAAATACAGATCATTTGGCATGACATGAACCCCCTTTCAGAGACAACATTGCAACCACTCTTCACTTTCAGAGACAACAAAAAATGATCAATACACTCCTAGCTCTGCATCTGAATTTGCTGCATCTCTTTCATTAAAGCTCCAGCCATTTCATCGTTCCCTTGTCTCTTATACCCATCAATAAAAGCACCATATATCTCTGAATTTGGTTGAAACCCTTTGCCTAACATCTCTGCCTGAAGCTTCAATGCTTCTTCCATCCTCCCCTCACAACAAAGCCTCTTTATCACAGCCTCATAACTCGTTTCCTTGGCGACCAAATCCAACTTATCCATCGCACACCTCAGAAACTTCACTGCCTCATCAACCCTACCCTTATCACAAAGTAACCTAATCATCAGATCTAGGGTTAAAGCCTCTGGCTTAAAACCCATCCTACACATGTCCTTATAAACAAGAATAGCAGAATCTATCTCTCCTATATTACAGTATCCCTTGATGATATGCTCAAAAGTAGCAGCAGTACCTTCTATACCAGCCATTGCCATTTCCCTGAAAAATTCTTCAGCCCTTCCAACATTTCCAGTCTTGCAAAATCCACCAATCATGGTTTCATAACTCACTGCATCAGGCTCCAAGTCTTTAGCCCTCATTTCTTGCCACAACTTCTCAGCGTCTTCCATTCTTCCTTCTTCACAAGATGCAGCCATCAATACAGTATAGCTGTAAGAATTGGGAACACAGTTCAATTTACCCATTTCGTCCCAAATCTTTTTCACCTTCTCAACCAAACCATTCTGGTAACAGCATAACATTAATGTGTTATAAGTATGTACATTCGGGTTAACTTCCCCATCCCTCTTCCTATCTCTCTCACTTTCCTCATCTAACCGAAAGGCCTCTCTGTAAATTTCATATCCTGCTTCAATCCCTCGAAATTGGCAAACGCAATGAATTAAAGAATTCAAGGTACTAACATTCAGGTTAAGCCCACGGGACCGCAATAATCTCATGATTTCGATTGAAGGGTCAATATTCTTTGATCCCAAACAGGCATCGATCAACAAATCGAACACAAATGGAGCCGATCCACAATCTCTATAAGTCTTCACAAGATTCTCAAATACCTTCAATGGCGTTGACCTGCGATTGTCTTCAACATCGTCCTCCTGCAATTTTGATGCTCGAATAGCCATCCGAATGATGTCCTGGGCATGCGACTTAAGACGACCACGAGCAAGAATGTGGATGATTGTGGAATAAGAGGCGAGGTTGTGGTTACAGAGGGATTTGCTAAAGCGGAAAAATCGGAATGCAAGATGGGGTCTATTCCTAAGGTGGAGGGTGATTTGAGAAAAATCATTGGGATCGAAGCCTTTGGGGTAGAGAGAACGGAGGTAGCTCCAACGAGATTTTGAATGATGGTGGGTAAGGATAGAAACGGCAGTGGTTATGGCACTTTGAGCGGTGGAGGCCTCATTGGAGGATAGTGGCGATGAAGAGTAAAAAAAGAGAGGTGAGTATTTGCGAGCTTGGGATGTGAACATAAAACGCTTTAGAAGTTGAGTCGCCATTAACAAGAACGTGATTGTGAGCTCAACACAGAGAACTAACCCTATGGCATTGAAATGCCTTGGCAGAAAGGTAATTACACTAAGAAACTACAAATGGGCTCATAAATAATGCGGATTAGAGATGCGAAACTCAGAAGGTGATGAATAGAGTGCATGAGGATCAGGGAAACTTCTACAACAAAGAACATGAACAGAAGAAAATAAAGAAAGCGACAAACCAATTCGCTTGAATATGGATGAATGAATTACGAAATCATGAAGAACAATACAGAAAAAGTATTTATCTTTGTAGTTCACACGATGAATGTCAAAAAGAGATTAATTAACATTTGAAAATTTTACAATCACTACATCAAATTAAAACTGCTTCATTAGCTAGGGAAGGAGGGTGACATCAGAATCTAAAGATGAAGCTTGAGCTCACCGATGAAAGAGTGGAGAACGTTAGGAGTGACACAAACAACAAGGACCGAAGTGCTGAACATGGGGACATGATGGTTTCTTCAAGGTGCCAATCTATATATATCCTTACAAAATCATGTAGAGAGAAGCTCCGCCTTCTCTCTAGATTTTCTGGAGAGAAGGTTTATCTTCTTCCTTGCTTCTTCTTCTCCTCTTCTATCCTCCTACTTCCTCCCATGAATTTCAAAGGTGCACTTGATCCTAATTTTTCATTCTTAGCTCAAAAAAAAATCTGCAAGAAAACACGAATTCCCCTCCATCCATGGAAGAAGTAGACCTACTCAAAAGAAATGTCATGAAATCAGATGAAGAAATGGTAGACAAAGGGAAAATATTGCAGCAAAATCCAACAGCTCAAAATCAGCATAATAAAGTTTTTTTTTCAACAGAGCCACGAAGTATATCCCACACCAGTCAAATTTACTACTAGGAAAATATCCCACACCAGGTAAAGAAAATGTGATCCAAGGAATTCAAGCCTGCAAAGCTCCCATCTCCTACAAAGATTCTCTTATCAGGTATAATGGTTGCTATGGAATTAAGGAGGATGCTGATATTAAATTCATAAATGACAGTTTAGCAAAGGAGCTTGATAGAGAGCAGATACCTTCTGAAACTACCAAGAAGCTCATGAATCTCTACCCCGTGGTCCATATCTCAAATAATGAATGGAAAAATCTCTACCTGCCTTGAATTGATGCAATAGTCATTAACACTCTAAGCATTCAGCTAACCCAAGATCTCTCAAGCCAAGACTAGCAAAAATTTGGGGCCCTAAGGATTTTGAGTTGATCGACTAAGTTAACATCTACTATACTGTGAGAACCAAGAATGCAGCAGCATGTGAGAAGTTGAGAACATCCTAAATGGAGGTCCCTGGACCATTTTTTTAATCATTGCAATCTTGCCCAATGCTGGTCCCCAAATACCAACCCATTGTCATTGGGTAAGGTCGCTCTCTAGGTTCAACTAGCTAATATCCCATACAGTGTTATGATAAGGAAATTCTCTAGCAAATGGGCAATTCTATAGGTAAAAATCTAAAAGTTGATTCTAACTCCCACTCAGAATCAGATTCAAAGGATGAAATAGGTAAAACCAAGAGAGGTAAATTGTTAGGATCAGTGTTGAGATTGATTTACAAAAGAAACTCATTCCTAGAATCCTAGTCAGAGACGAACTCTTCAATGTTGAACATGAAAGCTTAAATCTCTTCTATTTTGGGAGCAGATGTTTTGGTCACAACAAAAGCAACTACCCATAAAATCCCAAAAATGCCCAGAACCCAACAGCCAAGAATGCACTGAATTCATCAGCCAAAAATGCCCAGAGTTCATCAGCAATGAAGAAGAACGAAGCCAATGGAAAAACACAATTGCAAAATCACGAGGAAACCAGAGCTTAAAGAGTTTCTATCAACGAGAACAATAACTATCCTAACGGGTCGACTGAAAATCTACAAAACATCATACCTGAGGAAGATTAAAGTGAATGGAACAAGGTTGGACGCCCTCACCTTGCAAGCAATCTGATATGGTAGAAAGAAGAGAGAAACAAAACAAAACAGCAGAGAAATAGGAAAGAAAGATGAGTGACAAGAGAGAAAAGAGAAAAAGGAAACAGAGGTAGAAAGAAAATTGAATGTATTTCTGGGTTTTCCACATTGAACATAATCTGACTCACATATAGAACCCCCTTATATAGGCTCCTTTATCCCTTTATGCTAACAGAACCCAACTAACTAACCCCCCAACTAGCTAAACTATTTATTCTTTATTTACTTATTCTTTACATGTCAATACTCCCCTCCCCAAACACCCTTGTCCTCAAGGGTCAACAAGAGAAAAACCTGGAAATTGTCTCAGAAAATTACATTGAGACAACCAATTAGCCTCTTCATCCACAAGCTTCTCCACTAAACCAATAATGCTGTGATAATTCTGCCTTGCATCCATCCAACCCTTTTATTTAATATTTTCTCTAACATCCCTATCACCTTGTACGGCCCAACATGAGTAACCCAATTTCAAAGCTCCTTCAGGCCTATTAAAGGAAAATAACACAGCTTTTGATTTTGAAAATGCCACCTGTATGACAGCAGGGGTTTTGACTTTTCAACTTGAAAATTACCCAAGCATGTGAACCCAAATGAAAATCTATATTTACAGCACTTTTGAGGACAGAAAAGACAAATATTTCTGGCTCCATACTCTGCTTCTTTTTCTCCGTTCAACTTTTTTGTGATTTTCAAGTTAGTTTTTGAAGGAGAGGCCTCTGCACTCGAAGAAACAGAGAAAGTAAAACCAGTTTCCAAATAAAAAGAATGGATTTCAGAGGAAAGGACCTTTTATTTCATCCTCCATATGTTGGGACCCACCACCACCAGATGTGTTTTGCGATCCTTTCCATTTGTCCAAACCCAACAAAGCATTCTGAAACCCATCACAAAAATTAAGACTCGTTGCCCTCTGGAATTTTTGTTCATCTCCCGCTCTTTGAAGATTGAAGTCGTGCACTTGTGCAATGCTCAAAGCCTCTTGCAATGATCAAGGCTTCAAGATATGATTTTGAGCAGCAAAACCCCTGTCTAGTCTTGCTACATCCATCTTTAAGGCTTCCACATAGTCTTCTCAAGCTGTTCAGCCCTCTTTGTCTACGCAAAAGATTTGTGCCACTGCAATGCCTTTTTGTCTAGGTGAATACTTGCCACGGTAACCTTCCAAGAATCAAGCGTTTCATCGAAGTGAAAATAATGTTCCCACTTCAAAAGTCAACCAAGAACATCATCTCACTGGACTTTTGGAATTTCCGATTAGGGTCAATGGATGCCGCCTCCGTCATTGGAAGATGACCCTCCACCATTGCGGGACTCATCACAACTTCCAACAAGTTGAGCTATTTGGGCAGTGAGGGCTTGAAGTTGATTCTCCAAGGTACAAAGTCTTGCATAATTCCGATCTGCCATCCTTGTGAACGCAGCTTGGGAACACATTTTTGGCATACAAAGGTGATGAAAAATAGGCTCTAGATACCATTGACATGGTAGAAAGAAAAGAAAGAGAGAAGAGGGAAACAGAACAAAACAGAGGAGAAATAGGAAAGAAAGATGAGCGACGAGAGAGAAAAGAGAAAAAGGAAACAGAGGTAGAGAGAGAACTAAATATATTTCTAAGGTTTTCACATTAGGCATAATCTGACTCACATATAGAACTCTCTTATGTAGGCTCCTTCATCCCTTTATTCTAATAGAACCTAACTAACCAACCCCCCAACTAACTAAATTATTTATTCTTTACACATCACAATCCAAGGTACCCAACGGAAAGAAAATCAAATCAGGCACAGAGCATATCAAATCACACAAACCGAGTACAATCTACCCTAACAAATCTCAATTTGATATATTAGCTAACCTTGAGAAGGTCCTGACAGTGAAAATGGCAGAGAAGAAAAGATGAACCCCAAAAACATCACATTCTCAACTCACCACATCAAGCATGCCAGAAAAGTATGGGGAAAGAAAGACTTGACAGGAGGGAAGAGGTCCAGACCTAATGACATTGATGAGGTAATGGAAGCCCTACCTAATGAGAACAATGAGGAGCCCAGATGCAAGGAGGGGAAAAAAACCCTCACATGTGAGCAACAAGAAGTTGCAAGTTGGGCTAAACGTCACTTAGGAAGGCCCCCAAGTTCTCTAGATGCTGACTCCTTGAAGACCATTAACCAATAGCAGACTAATAACACTAAAAATAGATCCAACAAACAAATCCACACAATTGTCAAGGGAAGTAATAGAAAAGTGGGTCCCACTCTGAAGCTTATGAAAACTCTTTAAAGAAGCCCACTAGTGATTTGGGTATTGATTTTACACTCTCCCCCAACCCAAATGACTGGAATGATTTCAGTGTTGATAAATATAATAGGTATAATTACATCCAGCCCCCTTTAAAGAAATTAATCACAAATAACAAATAAGAACTAACAACAAATTCCATTTGAGAAAAAACAAGTCACGTTTTCATTTTAACAATAATCCATTTCGTATTGGTCCTTATCTGTGATTAATTTATTTGAAGGGGGGTTAGATGTGATTCTCCCAATATAATAACCCCTAAACCAGATTAAAATGAGCCCCCAGACCTAGACTCAAAATCAATTTGAAGGGGATTTGGAAAATGATGCCATTAATTTAGACTAGGGTTGTGCAACGAACAGGACAGGCTAGCTTGAGAGACTGCAATAGCCCATCCTATTTTGGCTAAAACAAGCTGGGCGAGCCCTTACGTCCTAAAATGTGCTGGACCAATGCATTTTCATGAGTGCCTAGCTTAAAAAACAAAAAATCAGTAAGTATAAACCATAGGCTTGATGAATTCAAAATTTCATCCACAGTATAAGTTCTTTTCTTATAAGAAATGAACACTGATCTTACAGTGCCAAGAAAGAAGTGGGATAAAAACTAGGGCAAGATATAAGGTTCTGAAGGCTGTTATATAATTATCATATTGAAGTTTAGTTACTTTTAGTTAGTATTAGTTACTGAAATAGCCGTTAGTGGCTGTTAGGGGATAAATGGGGACTAGAGTCTATGTTAAGAGCTACATTTGTAATCCTCTTATCCTTTGCTATTCTAATGAATTGATCACACAATTCAGTCTTTCCTCTGTTTCTCTTCTTCTTCTAACTCAATCCCTCTAAACTCTCTCCTTCTCTGTTCTACTCTTCTATTTCTCCCTCGTTCTCGCTATTTCTCTCTCATTCAGATTATATTCCTACATCAAAGTCAGTCTAGCAAATACTTCAAAACACAAAAATAAAGGAAAAAGGCCAAGACAATAAAGAGCGATGCAGATTACTGAGAACTAATTGAAAACCAGAAATTTCAATGCCTATAGAATAAGAGACAAACAAATTACTATGATGCCTTACTCTTATTTTCCTCATAACTAAAGTCCAACATAAAAGATTTGGTATATATTATCCATTAGACCTGGCAATTTCTACAAGAACAAAGGAACACCAAATGTGCTATATTGCTAAAATAAAGCACTGCTTGAAAAGGAGGCGATGCCTAGTAAAACATAATAAGTATCAGCTATCTCGATAAATAACCACTTTCTTCCCGCAAAATAACTATATTTAGTTAGTTTCCAGAGCAAGCCACAGTAAAAGGAAGACCATCAGCAATATAATTCTTCACCTGAAAGCTTCGGAGTTCAGAACTTCGGATCCGCCGGAGACTAGGGAGCTTCGACACAGTGAGTTCGAGAGACCAGGGAAGCACGGTTCTAGGGAGGCGCCGCTACTCTTAGCCCGTTAGCCGCCGAGGGACGACGACGACGAGGGTCGAGGGAGATGAGAACTGAGATGTAACTGAAGAAGCAGGAGCAATACGCAGCGTCTGAACTCTAAAATTCTTTTTTTTTTTTTTTATTTCCTCATAGATGAGGCAAGCAAAGAGCTAGAGAGAGAAATGAAAAAGACAAAAGAGCCTAATTCATATGGAGATTAACCCCATTTTTCTCGAGCAAAATAAGGCTGTCACAGCCATGCAGAGTCTCAGTCAGTAGAGTACGATCACTGCCATAACAATAAAGATTATGAGAAGTAAATAAAGAGGTAAGAAACAACAAGTAAATGCGGTGACTTGACACTTATTCTTTCAGGGTTGATTAGAGATATGTTTGGATAATTCTCAAAATTACGTTCAAATTATATCTGAAATACACTTTTACCTGATCCAATAAATAGTTAGATCCCCAAATAAACTTTTATTAAATATAAGCTGAAAATATAAGTACTACTTTATCATTTCATTCTTTAAAAATTAAATTATTCCTTCTATCATTTAATATAGTGTCAATTTTGAAAACTTGACTGGTTTTAAATGGGTCAAGATATACTAATTCATAAAACAGTGGTTCAATTGATATTGAAGTGAAAGCAAACTGGTCATGATAAATTATTTAAAATAAAAAGCAAGAATATAAAAATAACATTAAAAAATAAATTTATATTGTTATAATTTAAAAGTGTTAACAATATTAAACAATTTAATATCCATAAAGTTTTCTGATGTTGCAAAAATTGGGGATTCCCAGGGATAGAAATGTGCAATGGGAGGCTAAATTTGCCTTGACATGCGTGAGTTCAATGAAGCAGAATGGTGATGGAAGGATGACTGTACGGTCATATCTTTTTAATAAATGTAAAACAATCATAGCATTCTTATGAAATAAAATATGACCGCTGATTGAAGGCTCTGCTTTTCCAATATGAAGCATCTTCTCTTCTCCCCTCGGGTAGGTTTTTTGGTTTTTTTTTTAATACAAAGTCACAGGTAAACCATGTAAAAAGATTAGTGTTGAGTCATGTTTAAAGCCATTAAATTTATACATTAGGGGGTGGATTGTTAAAAATAAAAATATCAAAATCTTCATAAAATTTTTTGTGGACTAGAGAATCAATACATTTGTTATCTTCTTCGTAGACATGATCCAAAGAAACCACACAATCTCTCAAAATGAGATCTTTGATGCTCTTGATAATTTAAAAGAGGGGATGCGAATTGCAATAATTGTTATCAATGAGCGATAACGCCTCCGTGGAATCAAAGTAGATGTTAATTTTAGAAGGATTCTCATTTCAATAAAGATTGAGGTCTTCTAAAATTCTCAAGAGCTCAGTTGCAATATTGAGATAGTAGCTAAGATTCTTGAAAAATTTCTTAATCTGGTTTCCCTTGTCATCTTTAATAATGCCTCCATAGGTAGTGGCACAATTAGTATTAATTGAGTTATCAACATCAAGTCTAACACAACCTTGTTCAAGAGGACTCTATTTACCTTCATACATGTTGTTATTTTTGCTCAATTGGTTGATCTTGGATTAAAGTTTTATGTCATTCATTATCTGCTATGTGCAAGAGAAGGCAGTGTTGCTTTTTAGAAAATCACCTTTAAAGTAAATCTTCCTACATTTGGCTTTCTATGTATTCTAGCAAGCTTGGGCAAAATGTTTCACCAAGGGATCCTTCTTATAATCAAATTGCCTGGCTCATTCTTAGCATTTTAAATTATTCAATCCTACACATTACAAAAGAAAAAGGTATTAAGTTTTGTGAGGTTCACTGATCTTTTTCAAACCTTTTGAGGTTTCTTGCAATCGTGCAAAATATGAATGAAAGAGTCAGTAGAATTACAACTTAGGGGACATGAGCGTAGTTGAGGAGTATTCTCATTAGTATACATGTACTTGGCTTGTAGACGATCCTAAGTAGCTTTCTAAAGGAAATATTTAATTTTCTTGTAGGTGGGCCACTTCCCAATCTCAGACCTCTGGTAGCTCTTTTATGATTTATCTTCCATTTCAAATCCTGTATGAGAAACATAAGGGAGGAGAAATGTTGCTTCAACTACACAGAAAAATAAAATAAGGCATATACACAATGATATCAAGGTATTTTGATTCATTTTGCCATCAGTTCATGATTAAAATTAGGTCTAGTTCCTGCCACTGCCACTTCAAGCCTCTTTGACTCTTGTCAAATAGACAAAATACCTTATTATCATCATGTGTGAATTTTACAACTATTCCACATTAATAAATAATTGATAAGAAGAAGAGTCTCTAATGGAAGGATAATTTTGCTCTTAAAAAAAATTTCACTTTCATCTTTTTTTCAAAGCTGCATTTTGGGATGTGCTAAAAAATGATCTACACATAACCTTCTATAACTTTACTTTCAATTGTGCACATTACTTATTAAGCTACTTATTATGTCAATTAAATTACTTATTATATGAATAATATTACTTGTTAATTCCCTATCTTTATTTGTTAAGTTCACTGTGTTACTTGTTCAACGTCTTACTTATAATAAATACATTATTTAAATTACTTATTAAGTAATGTTTGACTTTTTAAACACGTAATAATACTTGTTAATTCTCTATCATTGCTTGTTTAGTCTATTATGTTACTTGTTGAACATTTAACTTGTAATAAATCATTACTTGTCAAGTTACTTTTTACATAATATAATCAACTTGTTAGAAAACAAGAAAACCAAAACTAATATAAAATCAAGATATTATTAATAGAATTAATTGTTGAACGAATTAAGGTACTAATTTAGTGTATGATCTTGTTGTGGTTGAATTATGATGTTATAATATTTTCAATTACATATAAGTTATTTTATACAGAATAAGAATATATAGTTTTATTGAGATTGAAGTGCTTGAAAAGTATCTTAGTTTGATGAATAAAAAAGGAATAGTAAATGAGGTTTCAAATTTCTTATTAAGGAAACACAAGAAAAGCTAAGCATTTTTTTTTCATTTAAGAATATCTTTTTATTAGGGGTAATTATGTTCGCGACATGATTTAAAACTAAATGTAAGCATTAGAAAAAGTATGTGTTCGAGATTTGACTTATGCGTTGGCCCAGTTTGTTGTGGCCCAACTTTTCATCTTTCATGTGATGTTGGGGAGATTCCCAAAAATGTTTGCAAAGATCTTGAATGGCTGCAAAAGAATTTTATTTAGAATGGAAATTCAAATCATAGAACTGGGTCAAACATTGATAAGTTAATATCAATATATTAAGTTTTAATTTTTAAAAAATAAAAAATGATTGTATTAAAATATTATCATTTAATAATTTTTATGAACATTTAAAAATAAAATTAAAAATATTACTATTTTTAATCACTGTTATTAGGATAGGAAGACAATTCTTTTTATAATGCATTAAATATAAGGGAAATGGCTATTAGGGATCTTGAATTATTAAAATTTCAATAATAGACTATGGTCAATCAGAGATCTTGAGTTTGAGTCTTGAGAATACAATAATATAGGTGACTAGGGGTGCCCACCATTGTGGTGATTGTCATGCCTGATTTGAATTAGTTTGGGCCCTATTAAATTCTCACAACTCGAGTGAGGTATGCTCAAGATATTAGTTGCTCATGCGCAAAAAAAAAATAATGAATAGTCAGTTGAGAAATCAACAAAATATATTTAGTATTATTTGTAACATGAGTTGATAATTCACTAGACTCGGTTATTAATCTTGTTTTTTTCCTGTCAATATATAGAGAAATCATTTGAAAAATTAAGAAAACATACTTGTAATCATTTTGTAATTCGCAAGCTAATCACTTGAATTTTTTAATTGTCAATATATAGATAAATTACTTAAAAAATATAAAAAATATTCTTAAAATTATTTGTAATATCATTTAAAAATTTATGAGAGTTAGTTGTAAATCGCAAACCAATTATTTGTGATTTTTTATTATCAGTATATAAATAATCCATAAAATACACTTAAAATTATTTATAATATCAGTTAGAAATTTACAAAAATAAGTTGTAAATCGTGAGTCACTCACTTATAATTTTTTATTGTCAATATATAGATAAATCATTTTAAAAATCAACAAAAATATTTAAAAATCTTTGTAATATTTATTAAGAATTTATAAAAGTCAATTGTGAACTTTAAGCTAATTAACAAAAAATATTTTATTACAAATAAAAATTATTAACTATTATTGAGATTTTAATAATTTAAAATTTGAAATTATAATTAATATTTTTATGAGTCTTTAATTATCATTTTCTCTTAATATAATATTAATTTCATGCCTAAAATTTATTGGACCTCTTCATAGATAGCCCGAGCCCAAGTTTCTACCTCCAGTGGCGTTAAGCATTCCTTCCACAACACCACCACCATTCACGAGGCGAGTCAATTAGAATAAGATAAGCTTAATTTGAATTAAGTTTATTTAAGTTCAACATTAAAATTTCACATTTAATTGGGTTAATCTAAATATTTGAATAGCTATTTTTTATTTTCATTTTTAACCAATTTGAATTTTTACATTAAAATCATTTATTTTTATTATTATAAAAATATATAATATACTTTTGGTATAACAAATTTTTGAGACTTAATTTTTTTAAAGAAAAATTGTGAGTCTTGATTTATTATATGTAAGAAATAAAAACACAGAAAATTTAGGTATTCAAATCTAGCTGCAACGTAATTGGGCCTCGAACATACTCGAGGTAGAATTGAGACCATGTTTGATAGTATTGAATTGGTAAGGTGAAAATGAAATTAAAAATAGAATCTTAATTTAAGCATGATTGGTATGCAAGAATTGTAATTTTTAAGAATTCTAATTCCATCAAAAATGTTAGAATCCAATTTCATTATATTAATCATGAAATTGCTTCAATTCCCTTGAATTTAATTTGTGAACCTCACTATCCTCATTTTTTTTGTTCATTTATAATAAGATAGGCCTTTTTGATTTTTAAAAAAAGACAATTTAATCTTTTTCTATTTTAAATACCTATATAAATTAATATTATATTAAAATTTTATCATGTCAAACGTACTTTTAAAATTTAATTTTATTATAATTTCAATCCTAATTTCGAGTTCATTAAAAACTATCTCCTCATCCCAAATGAGCCCTGAAACTTCACCTTGCTAAGATTGCCACTGATAAATCCGAAAACCTAGTTCAAAACTCGCTCTCGTCGTCTGTCGTCATTATAGCTACCTTCATCGACTTGGATCTCTTTGTTCCCGATTCAATCCCCACCTTCGTGCTGCTTAGTTTTTGTTGTCTTTGATCTCTTTCACCTGCTTCTTCAGAGTTAGAAGGAATTTTCTGATAGCGGCTTCTTTAGTTCTACAAGTCCCATATTTACTTTCTCTTATTTGGTCCAGGTTTTCTTCTTCCCACTCCTGATGATATTTTTGTTACTATAATCTCAGTGATTCTTTTTTGGATCTAGTAAGAAAAGAGAAACGTACTGTATAATCTCCCAGTGATTATTGTGGAGCTAGTGCTATCAATCTATTTGATAAAACGCCTATATGGATATTAAAGTTGGAAGGTTCTCGTTGCTTAAACCTGCGAACCTATGGATTAAGTATATCGCGAGCCGATTTTAGTTTCTCTTTCTTGTAACTTTGGAGGGATTAAAGTTCAGCGCTATCACTTCTCTATTTATATGCTTTTGGTTTATGCTTTCTTTTGTCTGTTAAATGTGAATATCAGAACTCTTATTTCGTGCTTAATATTACTAATCTTAAGTTGAGATAAAATAATTTAATCTGCGGAAAAAGTTCTGAAATTTGATCTTCGCGAAGGAAACTAATGAATTTCAGAATTTCAAGCCCTGTATTCAGAACTTCATAAACTTATTAATTTTAATATTGGTTTGGAAACTTCATAACTCTGTCTTAGATTCTGATTCAATTGGAATGTATGCTCCATCAGGCCCTGCTTGCTTTGCTTACTATGTGCAGTTTACCGTACTCCTTCAGACAAGTTGAGCAAAATCTCACATATCTTACTATGTTGGATTAGGATTTAGATTTTAGATTTAAAATCTACATTTCAAATCTCACATTTAAAATCCTTTATTTAAGTAGTTTAAAAAAATTTTAAAGGAAGAAGAGAGATGGGTTGATATTTAAAGTGAAAAAGAAAATTCAAATTGATAAGCTTACTTATATTTTTCAATTGATGATGGACAAGAAGGAGATATGAGAGAAGATGCGAGAGTGATGGATGCTAAAATGGTAAAAATGTGATGAGAACGGAAGGTTTGACATAACTGAAATTTCAAATAACTAGGGCATCAAGTGAATTTGATTTTTTAATGGAATTAGAATGTGAAATGGATTTGGATTCGATTTCATAGATTTTTGTGTATCCAAATAGAGGATTTGGTACAAATTCAACAGCAGCAGCAACTTGCAATAAGCCTTATTCCACTAGTTGGATCAGCTACATGGATTATATGACGTCATTGTGCTTTATCATTTATTATATTTTTAGGAATATTTTTAATTAAAAAGTCTTGCTTAACAACCTCTAAAAGTATTTTCTTCGGTCTTCCTCTACTCTTCTTGGTAGGGCTCAAAGTTATCTGTTCCACTCTCCTCACAGGTGTCTCTTGTGGTTTTCTTTATATATGTCTGAACCATCTCAAATGATTTTCTACCATTTTTCCTTCAATAGGTGCCATGCCCATTTTTTCCCGTATTTGCTCGTTTTGAATTTTATCTTTATGTGTATATCCACATATTCATCTTACCATTCTCATCTCTACTACTCCAACTTTATGTTCTTGCTGTCCCATCAAAGTCTAACATTTACTACCATATAAAATTGTTGGTCTTATAGTAGTTTGATAAAACTTTCCTTTAAGCATATGAGGTATCTTACGATTGCAGATAACTCTTTTAGCCTTTCTCCAATTAAACCACCCTGCTTGTATCCTATGTGCAACATCTCCATTAATTGGTTGATCAGACCATACCTCATATGGGAAAGTTTAGATTTGTTGATGGTACTTCTATTGTGAAATGTGAATGTGAGCTTTTGCTACTTTTAATGCAGTTCACTTAAGTTGCATGTTGTTGAGCTGTTTATGTTTGTCACCTTTTTTTATGCATTCCCTCATCTGAATGGGATCCTGTGTATGGTGAATTTGATGTAGAAGTAATGTCATCATGTTTTTTATTGGGTTAAAGGGAATTTTTGGCCTTTTAACTATTTGTGCAAGAGCATTTAGCATCTTAAAATTTTTGTGTGGTGCAATGTTCTTGTTCAACAATTAAAATGTTGCCCACTTGTTTCTGCCATTAACAAAGGTTAACTTTGACTATTAGTTGACTCAAAAAATTACATAAAGGGACCTAAAAATTGCAAAAAAAGACTAAAAAAATTATAAATAAGTACCTTATAAGGAAATTAATGCTGATTAAGTCTCTTAAACTACAAATAAATATTAAGAGACAAATTATTTCTTATCATGTAAAATAATTACCGGATCATTGCTGGTAACAACACTAGTAATCAATTATAAAATAATATATTTTTCAATAATATATTATTAAAACATTAACACTTTAATATTTAATCATTTTTACTGATATTATTTCAAGCAATGATAAATCGATAATCACTTGATAGTTGGTCAAAGTTGTGGGTCAAAATGAAATTTTGGTCTTTTATGTGGACAAGAAATAATATTAGTCTCTTGAATTTATTTATAATTTAAGGGATTGATCAATATTGATTTTCTTATAGGATATTTCAATGTAATTTTTGAGTTTTTTTATGTAATTTTCTAGGTCAACTATTGGTCAAACTTAATCTTTTTAATGGTAATGGTAAAATTGCACTGTTTTCAAATGTTGAAAGAGGACAGTGCATTGCAAAAAAGTTTAGAACACCAGACATTTCTGCATGTATAGTTGACGGGCAAAAATGCCCTGTAACCCCATTTTATTATGTATGCTTATGATAAATCCCCTCCTAATGGAATAAGGCTTGTTGTATGCTTCTCATAAATAGTGGAGGCTGAATCTTGCTGAGATGCTTAGTGCTGAACCCCAGAATTTTTATATCAGAAACTAACTTGAGTTAGAATGAAGGGGCATGCTGCAATTTCTTAGGTTGGGTGCTTATTTAGCATGTTTACCTGGCTCCTTTTTGTGACCTGGGAGGTGCATGTCCCCTGCATGTGAGACTGCAAATATTGTTTCTGATTTTAAAGATATAGATGCTTTATTTTCAAGAAGTCATGTAACTTAGGCTTACTCTATGGGTGGGATAGGGATTTGTGTAACATATTTTGGTTTTGGAATTATTTTTTGAAACATCCTGTTTTAGTGTTTTGGAAAGAAAATCTACGGTTGCTATCATCTTTTTACAAGCTTCTTGGATTTCCTCTCTGTAATCAACGGTTCATTTACTCAATCACAAGCCATTTTATTTCTTCAGAAATAAGAGATGTTTCTTGAACTCCTGCACAAGTGAATATGGTTTTTGTTGGTATTTAATGTTGTGGGACAAACCAAATTAATAAGTCTTGATTTGGTTGATTTCAGTGCACTTGTCAAGTATAAGTGCATGTTTACATGAATTGATTTTTGCTGCACGTTTATTGAAAGCACATACATAAGAGCAATTTTTTTTCCTAAAAAAGACTGTAGCATGAATCATAGAGAAATATACACAACAAAACAGTTAGAGCGCAAAGAAAGAATACTTAAAAAATTGATGGAGATACTTCCAATGGAATTCGTTGTGTAAAAAGGTAACTTGGTTAATAGAAGGGATCTTATATGGGGTTTTCTTGATGTATATCAAATGATTGAAATGTTAAGAAAATAGGATGATATTTTTAAAAGTATCCAGTATAATTTGATTAATGGCTATTAAAAAATGTATCAACATGTTTATGTTGTGCAGAACTTAAACACAGTTTTAATGACAATAGAAAGCTTCATCAAAAGAAAGAGATTCTGACAAGGCACGTGACAGAGTCGAGCTGACTCACAATGGGGAAGGAAGGTGATCTCTGGGACGATTCTGCTCTTATCAGTGCCTTTGATCAGGCTATCTCTACTTACAAGGTTCTCAACCTGTAGAGACATCATACATGCATATTTCAATTTCTTTCCTTAATCTGACGTATTTATTTCATCATAGTTGTTTCACTAGCTTTTAGGTTCAACGTAGTCTCAAGTTTCTGCATATTTCTATTCACCCACTGCCAATATCAGTTGGTAAAGGAACTGAAAGCGTTGAATCCACAATCTTTCTTTCTTTTACTTCCCCCTTGATGAAAGGCTCATCTCTAGTTGGTGCATCTCAAGTTTAATTTGAAGCACTCGCAATGTGATCTATGCATGCTTATTTGCCATTTTGTAGCATATGTTCACCTCACCTATTGCACAATCAATCAATGAATCGAGCATGGTCAGATGGGAGCTGTAGTTCCTTATTATGTCTGTCATGAATTGTTAAAGTTATGTTTTCATCTTTGCATGTAAATTGGATATTCGGTTATTCTATGGGATCTAGATTTTTTTTTTTTTTGGTGCTGTTGATTTTGAGGCGGCCTTTTAAGTATATCATTTCATTGTAAACCCTGCAACAGATGATGCACATCAGCAAAAACAATAATAACTCAGCTGAGACAAAGCAAATGACTAGCAGCACTGGAGAAATTGATTCTAAGTCTGAACATGTTTATGAAAATCTTGAGACTAGAAGGTAACGTGTATTCCATTATGCCTTCTCTCCCCTGTAGGATGAAAATATGTCAGGCTTTAATTAAATAGGCTTGAGCTTGTTTTGTAGGCCTAAAACCTTAGCCTAGCCTATTAGCCTGTACAAGGCATTTTTTAAGGCTCAAGGCCATTCTTGTTAAAAGCCCAGCCTAAAAGCTTATTTAAAAGCCTATTTAAAGTTATTTAAGCATGCCTTTAAATAGGCTTCAATTAAAGTTAATTAGCATTGCTTCTTATCTCTTTCCATCCTCCATCAGTATGTCTTTCTTTAGTTGTTTCTGCATTAATAATCAAGGCAATGTTGTAAATTGTAACTATTTTATATTTTTGATCATCTTTTGTGCTTTATTAAACACAGCAATGCTGGTGAGGTAAGCAGCATTCCGGTCAATGCACAAGCAGGAGAGACTAGTAATGGTTCATACTTCGAAGAAATTTATCATACAGATTCACAAGTAGCCCAATCTTGTCTAGACTCATCAGTTGGTCAAAACATGGGACACTCTGTGGATGGGCAGAACAGCTATTCACATGCACAAGGTGTCGATGATTATAACCAGTTAGTTGGTCAGTACTATGAACTTGAGGAGCGGCGACAGAAGATTTTAGAGCAACTTAATCAATATGGCGGATTGAATTACCAATATGCAGATTCTGTTTTTAATTCTGGTGTACCATATTCTAATTTCCAGAGTTGTTCTATGTCTGCATGCCATGTTTCTGATCCAAACGTACCCTGTTCATGTTGCCCATGTTGTGATCAATGCTTGGTGCCTCCATGTACATCAGTACCTGGCTGTTCTTTGGGTGGAACTTCTGTTGGCAAACCTTGTAATAATTATTCTGTGACAAAGTGTCCTGAAAAGCCATTTCCATGTGAAGATGATAAAATTCTTAAAACAGCAATGGTAGCTGCTGAGAAGGCAATGTCTACCATTAAAACAACCATTTCTGGCAATTCTGATAAAAATGAAGGTAACTATGCCTCCCCAAAGTAGATGCTTGAATATCATGGTTGCAGTAAGTAGATTGAATTAATTATAGATGGAATTATCCCTTCTTATAGTTTTCTATTGTATCTTCATAGTTTCATCATTGATATAAATTGGCTTTCTGAGATGTTTACAAGAGCCATTTTTCTGCTTGCAGCAATGAAAATATAATTTCAACATAGTCCCAGCTTTTAATTCTCAAACAAATTTAGTCAAAAGCTAGAATTATTTTATTTTCCAAAAAAAAAAAAAATCTACTTCTGGTCCTTTAAAACCCATGATAAATTTTCCTAACTTGGTTGATGTGTTTTGATATTCCTCGGAGATTCAAGCCTATAATTCTTTGGACTTCCATTGTAGGTTTCTCTGTTTTGTGCAATTGTAGTTGTAGCCTTGTAAGGCCTTTGAATAATAAACTGGAGGGCATGTGCAGCATGTTGTAGTTGCTTAAATTGATATGTGAAGACGTTATTTCTGTTTATATAGTTTCCATAACAGGTCATCACTACATTAATGAATAGAAGTATGCAGTCAGCTGTCTCGCTGTCTATTGGATTGAATTTTAAACTTTGTCCAAGCTATATTCCTTTTCCTTTCTTTGGTTCAGTTGATTGGCGAAACTGTACAAATCTGGGAATTCTTGAATCATGCACTTCGCTCTTTTGTTTCAGTGGCTTTTCATTACTACCAGTGAATTTTATCTTGATTCTAGAGGTTCTCACGATCCACTGCCAAATTTTATTTTCTTTATTAATTTTTTTTTCTTTGATATTCAGAGAAAGAGAGAAGCCACTCTGAACAGGATCAACATCGTGGCATGGAAATGGAAACAGATCTTACAGTTGTTTTGAATGCTTGGTATTCTGCTGGCTTCTTCACTGGAAAGTATGTCTTCACTTTTTGCCCAAGTTTTTTTCCCCATTGGTGATTGCAGAACTTTAATTCTATTTTCACGGGAACTCCTTAGTTGTGTCCATTAGGTTATTGATGAGAATTTTTATGTGCATCTTCCAAAATAGTCATCTACTATAAGGTGTTTTTAATCGAATCTCGCATATTAATAAAAGTTTGTTATTTAATTGAAATCACATGAAATCACAGTAATTTTCTAGTCTTGTCCCTAATAATATCACAATTAATATCATGATGGTGGTGGGTAAATACACAATTAATATCTTCTCTATTTTTCAAGGCAAGGACAAAATTGTTTAATTACTCAAAAATATAATGACACCCATTATATTTAGGGACAAAATAAACATTTAGAAAATACCCGATATACAGGATGGATGGAGTACATAATAATGGTTTTAACAAGCATTTAGGTGTTTATGTAGAGATTAATTATACATTTTAGTCAAAATCACTGTATTCTCTGGTTAACTTCGATTAATTTTATTGGCGGGCACACGGGCCAACCTCCTCAACTAGGGAGGTATTAAGCCCTCTTATCTGATGGTCATTGTTATCTAATTGCCTTCTAAAATGAGCTATCAAAAGATTCAAAACTAAATGCACTTGGGGTAACGCTTTTGTCGGCAAAGTTTTTGTCTGATTCTCAACGTGTAGGGTCTTTATCTCAAATCTTCTCATAAAAGTACTAAAATGCATAGTACATACAGTACTGTAACACTTATAGTGTGGTTGGTGGGAGAAAAAAGTGAAAGGGAGAGAAAAGTGGGAGAGAAAATTTGTTTCCAAATTTATCTGAGTGTTTTTCATTTCCCTGCTTTTACCTCCATCTATTTTCATCCTTATATATAGTTGCTGTAATTTTTAGATTATTGTATATTTAATAATTTTATAAATAAAATTTAAAATTAGATAAAATAATTTGCAATAAATATATTTTTATTCCATTAGTAATGTATGATGAAATATAAATAGTATGTTAAAAATTTTAGGATTTATTATATCTAAATATTGTTTGCAAATAATGAAGTTATTATTATCCATATAAAATTAGCAAATTTTCTCTCATCCCTATTTTTTCTTGGTCAGCCAAGCATAGAAAGAGAAAATCACATCCTTTCATGTTATCTTTCTGTTTTCTCTCCTATCATTTTCTTTCCTTTTTATTTTCTCTTGTTAGCCAAGCACGGTATTAGTTTGCTTGTCCCGTGGGAAAAATGACATTTGAATTGTTTAACTGCTTGTGCATTTAGCTGTATAACATTTGATTGGATAAAATTTTATAGTATTGCTATATCAATTTTGTCTTGACATCTAGTTGTGAAATGGTTGACAATATGACTCCACAAGTTGCTGGGTCTGCACATCATTGGTATGCTATTTTGGATCAACTGGAACTATTTAGAGAGAAAATCAATAAAGGAGCTCCGAAATGATTTAATATCTGACAAGGACTTTAGATTGATTGGATAATTGTTAAAATTTGAATTTCACTTGTTAATTGTTAATGTATAGATGAAGTATTTTTGTCATTTCCTTTGAATCCTCACCTTGTTCATATTGTGTAATCTTTGAGCTCTGATGATAATATGAGATATTAAAACTGTCTTGGAAACAGGTTCCTCACTGAAAAATCCATTGCAAACAGAAGACAGGAATAACAATCGCCGCTTGAACTTCCCGTGAAGCCAAATGGTTGTAATACAAAACCCTAGTAGTATCAAGCGACTGTGACGAGTCTACATATTTTCACAATGTAGAGTGTTGGGTTTTGTTAGTCGACGCCTTTTTCCCATTATTTACTTCTGACATGAATTTGTTGGTTGAGATCTAAGCCAAACTGTTTGGTAATAGAGGTTTACCCTCTTTTCTTTTATTTTTCTTTCCTTTTTTTCTTTTTCTTTTTCTTTTTCTTTTTGGTGATGACTAACTTTTACTAGAATCAGTAATTCAAGTAAATTGGATTTATTCAAACTGAATTTAATTTGGGTTAAGTTTATTTGGGTTGGGCATAAAATATCTGAACATATAAAAAAGATCATATAGTTAAGTTTAATTTTAACACTTCGGACATTTGGGCTAATTTGGGGTAGCTCAAATGTTTGAGTTGTTAAATTTTATTTTATGTTATAGTGGATTTCAATTTTTATAATAATTTAGTTTAATTTTATTATTAATAAAAAATAATTTGAATATTTAGGTGAAGTTCATTTGGATTCATGCAGCCTGAGTAAGCTACGGCTCTAGCGGTTGGATTGCCGGGTCGCTCGAGAGGTGTTTTGAGGTTATTGTGTCGAGCAATCAACATGTCTTTGCTTGTCTAATGGGAAAAGGTGTAAAATTAATAACAGCCATCTTCGGTATGATGGAATCTTTTCTTTCTACCTTTCCTTTTCAGCAAACGCGAGGAATGATACTGTAGTAATATGGAATAAAGGTAACAAGTCTAATGTGACCCATTAAAAAGGTAAGAGCACGATGATGGTAGTGGATTGTTTTAGTGCCTGCTTGGATAAGGAAAATAATCGATTTTCAACCCTCAAACCATGGTTTTATTTTATTTTATTTTTTAAAAAACTCAAACACATATATTCTTCCATAATCGATTATTGGATGCTAATCTTGGTTTTCTTTTAAGCTGCTTAAGGAGCTTGTCAATTGTAATTTTACTGTTACTTTCATTTATTGCTTGTCAGAAATATTAGCTGTCCCAACACACCCCTGTATGCACTTGTAGAGTTGTAGTCTCGCTTTTCTTTGTGAAATTTATTAAATAAAACGTTATAATATAATAAGATCATACCTCTTAAATATTATACTATAATACTTCTTTCATTTTAAATTATAAAATATTTTTAAATAAAATCTTATCTATTAATAAATTTTTATTAAATGCTTAATAATTTTATTTTTAAGATAAAAATATAAACTTTTAAAAATATCCTTCATTTAATATAATCTTAAATTTACATTTAATTATTAAATTGAAATAGAGAGAGAGTAATATTAAAATAAATTTATTTAATAAATTTTTTTTTTCATAGTATTTTATATTTTAAAAATATAAATCCCTTTAAAAATATTTTATAATTTGAAACGGATGGAGTATTAATTATTAAAATTACAAAATATTCTTTTATTTTTAATATTATTTTTAAATATAATTTTCATAATTAATCATACATGTTAAATCTCATATAAATTTATTTGAACTTAAATATATTGATTTATTTTTTACATACATTAAATTATTAATATTACAATATAATATAATTGAAATTCCTATAATTAATCAAGTGTATATATGAGTTAAATAATATATGTTACTTGTTAAACGAGTTGAACAGATTTAACATCATTATATATAATTTTATCAATATTTTAATTTTTAAAAGTAATATCTTTTATAGTAATTTGTACATTTAAAATTGATTCTAAATATATCATCCAATATTTTTAATTATGTCAAAATTAATTTTTAAAAAATAATATTCAAATAAGATCATGTTATAATATAATCAATTCTAATTAAAATTAATCATATCAATTAATTTTTTTAAAATTAATTATACCTAACTAAAATTCAAACGAGCCTTTAGTATTGTAGTTTGGAAATTGAGAAGCTAGGGGATCATTGAATGGAGATAAGATCTAATATTAATCTCTCTCTCTCTCTCTCTCTCTCTCTCTCTCTCTTAAATAAATCATGATTTAAATTTGAATGATGGACAATTGAACGATTTTTATTTTCAATAACTATGTATTTGAATTTCAAATTCTTGAAATCACCAAATAATTGTCCAATAATAAATTTAAATCATATTTATTGCCATCAATAAAATTAAATTGTGTTTAATGAAATTATAAAATTTATGCAATTTCAAAATTTGTCTCTCTCCATAATTCCACCTATTTTCTTTCATGTGACCAAGGAGGCTTTAGAAGTTATTGTCTGCTAGTCTCTATAGCTCTTGTGATGACTCTTAGGGGTGGTTTCTCGGATGCCTTACAGAAAATACTGTGGTGATGAATAACACCTTAAGGACAATGTGATATTCACACGTTTCTTAGCATAGTCTTCAAAAAAAACATTTGTTCTAACATACTGTACTTTACAATGAGGGCTTTTTTGCTTTTCAAACTATAGTTTTATATATTAAAAAATTATATGAAAATTATTTACTTTTTTATCATTCCAAACATTTTAATGACTGTATTAGTACATTTTGTTATCTCTTTGTATGAGTGTTTTTCCTTTCAAAAGGACATGAGAGAAGCCCAAATTGACGAATTGCATCCGTATCATTTGGTAGTGTGATATGAGAAGTTTAAAATTCATTGTATTGGCATATTTGTTTAAGATTAAAAAAATAAGTGATTTTTAAATAAATTTTAGAGATTGTATAAAAAGATATTTATTTTGTAGAGATTTTATAAAAAATAGACATCGTTTTATATTTGGTTACAATAATAAAAAAAGAATTAAATGGTAATTTATACTTGAATTATAAATTCAAGGGGGATTTAAACTATAAACTCATATTTAATATATTTTAAATTTTAAATAATTAAATTTAATACAATTTTCTCCTACTTTTAAATTGGCATAGATATTTATTACTTAAAAAAAGAAAACTAAGGCTAGACGTGCAATTTCCACCGGTGTCAAATTGCACTCTTCCTCTCTCTCCTACTCTCGTTTCTCACTCCTTCCCCACCCTAATGCCCGGACGTCCATTTTGTCCTGACTCTCAAATTCATCCATATCTTCCTTCTTTTCAGCTATGTTCTCTGCAGTCATGGACAAAATTAAACAAGAACATAAAAAATACAAAATATGAAGAAAAATTCATCTATTATAAAATACGAAATTGGCTTTTAATAGAGTTTAATTTTTGAATTTTTTTAAAATGTTTCAAACTTTTTTAATATTATGTTTAGGACTGTTTAATTTTTTAAAAACTATTCTAATTCCTGGTTCAACTCCCATTTCTGATTTAATAAAGGCTTAACTACGTCTAACTTGGTTCAATAATAAAAATGATATTTTGGCCCAAACTAAGTTGTTAAAGGCTTCACATGACAGTCCAACCATTCGATTCTATTCAGTTTTTAAAACAATGCCTGAATCTATGGAAGCCTTTGCTTATTTGGCCCCTCCTGATAGATAGCAGATGCACAATAGGATCACATCAAGCAAAGAAAGAAAGAGGAATGATTGTGAGATCCAAAAGGAAAAGGATTGGTTTAACAGCCAATCCATTCAAGTTGGTTTGTGATACAGAATGTCTTAAGACCGCTCTGAGTGTACTTGGGATGGCTACGAAGAGCAGTTTGAATTGTCAGGTTCAAGTGTGTCTGCTACCAACAGCCTTTTAAGTCTAAATTCATGGTTGTTGGAATTTACTGATCTGTCCATTATGGGAGTCGGGTCAATCAGAAGAGATTTGGCATATTCTGAAATTATGAGAATTGACTGAAAATCAGGAATTAATTGTGAAATAAATCCTGGTTGATTCCAAAATAGGAAATGATTCCTTCGTAATTAATGTGATTATTCTAATCAATTTATTTCCTCTATTATAAGGCAAATTAATGGCAATTGGGTTTTCCCTCTCTGCGACGGCCTCTCCGCACTATAAATAAAAGTGGGTGGCTGAAGGAAAAACTCATTCCAAAGTGAACACCTTTCTGTCAATGTTCATTTTTCTTTTCCCTGTCTTTTTCTCTTTAATGTATTTGCTGTGCAATTTAAATTGGACTCGTAGTCCAATCCGGTGTGGGTAGTTAATCAGGTGTATTCTACTATATTTGGATATGTTATATGACTCTAACTTGACTCCATTTTTTGACACATTATTTATTTATAATATTCCTTGAATGGCATTATCTGAAAGGACCAAGAGGAAAAACAAAAAGTCGAGAAATTGGAGTACTCAGTCTACATTAATCAATGGAAATGAAAATGATATCATTTCTATTGCAACAGAAAGACGTAGAAGGCGAAGATAATGAGAATGAAGGATGTTTACCTAACATCCATCCACTTTCTAATGCTGTGAAAGTAAACAATTGAACAGATAGAATAAAATGAACGTTATGAAAATGATTATTGAGCATTACAACATAATCCTTCACTTGAAGGTGAATCCCAAAACTATTTTGAGGTAAAAACTAGAAATAATGAGGTGAGGATTTTTGTTAGCCTCTCTTATGAGGTAAGATACAGGTCCCTAACCTCTAATCAAATGTGATGCCTTTTATATAGATTTTAAAATCATCAACAATTAAGTGATCAACACTAATCACTCCAACTAATCAAACACTAAGGTCCCGTTTAGTTATTATAAAGAAATTTAATAAAATTGATTGAAAAATAAAAGTAAAAATGATATGATTAGAAGGGATGATGAACTATATTTATGAGGAAGATGGATAATTTATTTCATAAGGTTAGGAATCATGATTTATAATATTTTTAAAGGGTGTAATAATTTTTACATTTGTAGTATATATTAATGAATTTTATCATATTTACCATAAAAGGGACAAATGATTTAATTTATTTTTATATTAAGTTTTTCAATTCATTTCATTCCATTCATATTTAGTAATCAAATTAGACCTAAATGGTGCTGGGATGAAGGATGATTAGCGCGCAAAAAGGTTTCAAAAGCCAATGCTTCTTTGTATAATTAAGCGTCACAAAGAGCCAAGCAACAAAAAACCCACCAAAATCCTACCTTTTGAAGGAGCTTATTATTTTAGATGTTTCGGAGCATGCAATAGGTTTGATAGGGAAAAATCTGAGACAACAAAAACAAGTGAGCTGTGAGCCCGTATGAACCTGATTTTTATGGATTCAAGCTCATAAGATTAGTTATTTCAAAATTAATCATTTTTGAAGCTTGACTTTTATTCATAAGGTTTAGGATTGGGCCCATAAATTCATTATTATTATTATTATTATTATTTTAAAATTAAAATTTTCAATTATAATATTTCATATTATTTTTTAAAATACAAATTATAATTTTTAAAAATTAAAATTAAATAAAAAATTTTAATTTTAAAATATAAACATATATTTTGAAGTTTAAATTTAATTTTAAATTTTAAAGTATTATTTTAGGGAAAAAACAAAAATGAGTCTAAATAGGCCGCTCGAGCCTAAACCCGAGCTTATTTTTTAAGGTTTATTAGGGTCAGACTTCAAAGTTGATTTTTTTTAATGTGCCAATTTTTTAAATTTAAACCCTCATAGGTGGCCTATCATATCCAACTCTTATTCCCCTCTCTATGCCACATGTTTGAGTTCTATTAAGCTGGCATTTGGATGAGAGTATCATACTATAATCAGGCAGCAAAAAAAAAAAAAAAGTGGTGAGATCTTGCCTTTTATAGACATTTTGGGTCTTATTAAATGATACTCCTTTTGTTAAAAAATATAAGGTATTTTTTAATAAATTAAAAGTTAAAAAATATAAAATATTTTTAGTCTTTTAAAATATAATTATTACCTTTTTTAAAAAATTTCTCTATTGAATATATCATTTTATATTTTTTTAGGGTGAAACACCCTGTTAGAAATAAATGTAAAAAAATAAAATTAACTTAAAGATAAATAATTACTTTATTGAGATTTAGATTTTGTTACAAATCGCTTGTATTTTGAAATGGAGGGAGGACTTCAAAGTATGTTGCCCGTTCCTTCATAGAGGTATATGGCGAAAGACAATCTATATTTTCTGAGAATTATTGTGATCATTCTGTGTCAAATTTCAATATAGGAATTGCTGTGTACTGTTCGGGGCTTCATCTGAGTGGAATAGTGACCCAGAAACTGGAGTTTGAGAAGAGGCACAATAGAATATGAGCTATACTCCCTCCTGTTCCATTTATAAGTTATATTTTAAAAGATTTATTTAATTTCATTATGAGCCAAAATGCAACTTTTTAAGTGATATTTAAAAGGTATTTTTAAAATTACTTTTATGAGAAAAAAAGTAATGTGACATTATTTTTTAAATTTATTATATAGAGGCGTATTTGAAATTTTACATACTTTTATTCCTTATACCTTTTTTGCATTTGTATTAGTGAGATTGGTAGAAATGATTTATAAAAAGAATTTGGGGGTATTTTCTAAGTTTGGTATGTTAGCCAATTACTCCCTCTGGTCTTATTTATAGGGTAGAAAGAGAAAATTTTTTTTTATCCTATTTATAAGTTATATTGTTAAATTTTTATTATAGATTTTCTTTTTTACCCTCCATTGAATGTTGGGAATAGAAAATATATTATTGAAGTATGTATGTTTAATAGGGATAAATTTAAAAATTTATTAAATTTTAAGATAGAGTTAATAAGTTTTAAAATTTTCTCTAGTACTAATAAAACATATTAAAAGTGACTTATAAATAGAATCAGAAGAGTATTATCAATCACATGTGGTTATCAGCCACTCATAAGGTAGTTTGTTGCATCTTAAAAGGGGTAAAGAAAAGGATAGGATAATATTAAATTTATTTTTAATTTTTTATTTATCAAAAGTCAGTTTGTCAATTATGAATATAAAATACATTGATAAGTTATGAGCATTATGTTACAATTACAATTACAATTTAAGTTAAAACATGTTGTATAAAGACTGAGAAATGTAGCAGGAGTTCAGATTAATTTGGACATGAGGTGGTAATACCTCCAGCTTTCCAAGAATATCGAACATTGGAATTAAAAAAAAAAAGGACTGAGAAATGAGTTTTTTTCCCCATAATGTATAGACACACACACACACACATATATTGACATTAATAAAGTTTATTATTATTATTATTATTTCTAACTTTTATTTCAATATTTTTAAGTGTTTTGTTTTGTTTTTACTATAAATTTTCTCTATCTTATGGCAAAAGACAAAAAAGCAAATAGAGAAGAAATATTAAACAGATATACTCGAGGAGAGAAGAGGGAAGATTTCGTCCAAAGCTCATCTTCCTATCTTTAATTAGAATGGGCATTCACTCCTCAATGCTCTTTCCAAGAATTTTTTAGGGGAAATTTTAGTTAACGATCATACAAGAGATTTAATTTTAGATGGGTCTAAATATATTTTAAAATTTAAAAATTATTCTAAAATTTCAATTCAGTAAAAGGAAGAAAGTTAAAAAATTTCGACAATAAAAAGACCAAAATACCTTTCATATGTTATGCTGAATTATTAGTTGTTAATTTTTTTATTATACTTGTGAATTTACTAATATCACTTGTAAATTACATTTGTTTATCAAACAATCAGTAATATTAGTTAATAAATTGTTAACTTTATTTGTCAATTCATTAACATCAATAGTAAATTACAAGACTTGTCAGCAATTTATAATTAATATTAATGAATTACAAAACTTATTAATAATTTATAACTAATATTAGTAAATTAACTAGTAAAGTTAGCAATTTAATAAGTGATATTGCTACTTATAATTGAAAAAATAATGTCAATTTTTATATAATTATTGACATATCAACTCATGCAATTTACAACTCATATTCATAAATTAACAAATGAATATAAAAAATTAACAATTAGTGATTCTACATAATAGGTGAAGGACATTTTGATCTTTTCACCATTGACAATCTTTTGACTTTTTTTCTCTGAATTGAAATTTTAAAATGTTTTAAGACCCACATGAAATTAAGTCTCTTTCTTAGTCCTTCATTGAAATTCTCCCAATTTTTTATCTAATGAAAATTTTTAACATTCCAATAAGCTTTTGATACCTCAACTGAACTTTGGACATCCAAATCTCAGTTGAGATGCTAATCCAAGCATCCAAATCAGGTTGATAATTTTAGGAATAGAATCAATAAAGAATTATGTTGAAGTTTCAAATAAAGAGATTAATTATTATAAAATTTATTAACAACTGAATTAAAATTATTGACAACACAACTACTCTAATTCAGCTGTTAACAGACTTTTTAGTAACTAATTTTCTTACATGAGACTTGTATGTAACTTTTTCTAGAATCAAATGGTGGCAACAAATAGGATCCCTTGGATTGCAAATATTTGCAACACGTAGCGACTAGCAAAAGTCTATTCCTGTTTGGAAAATGAAGAGTTTATGTGGCCTATGGCAAACATCAGATACACTCGATGCTTCAAATGGAGTGGGAAGTTTGGGTGGATTTTGTCTACAGGAATTGATAGATTAGCAAAAGATGGGCTGCAAAGTACTTTCTTTCTTAAAAGCCTTATAAATTCAGAGTGTTTGGAATTTCAATTCCTTGCTCTAATTTAATTCTCTGTCGGGCTTTGCCCTCTTATATACCAAAAAAAAAAAAAAAACTCTTCGTAAATCAAGTTGCGACGTCGTTTTGGGAAGGTCCACAAAAGGGCGTTATAACCTGTATGTGGATCACAAGTCACAACTGATATGAAAGATGACGGTTTTCTTGTCCATGTGGAGCTTACCAAAACTGATCCACTTGTCCATCCTTTGTGCATGTTTTGTACACATCAAATAATCAATTTTAAAAGTTCAAACTATAATTTTGTAATAGCATATCCAAACACCTATATTATGTATTAAAATTAATTATGAATTTAAAATTATAATTTTATTAAAAATATCCAAATAACCTGTACATGCCAAAATCGATTATAACCTAAAATCATGATTTATAACATAAAATATGATTTTTGATAAAATTTTTTTTGAAAATATGATTGAAAAACTGAATTGAAAAACAAATAATAATAACTTATGAGATAACTATAATTTTGGGTTAATAACTGATTTTGACATGTATAAAAGTGTTTAGATATTTTTAAGGAAACTATTATTTTGAGGTAATAATATTTTTATATAGTATAATACAAGTGTTTATATATGTTTTAAAAAATATGGTTTTGAGTTCATAATTAATTTTAATATATAACAAAAATATTTGGATATATTTTCCCAACACCATCTTTTTACCTAATTTTTAATTTTATTTTTAATTATACTTTTCAATTCTGATTAAAAATAATTTTATAAATTAATTATATACTACATAACATAATCAATTTTGTTAATCATTTTTTTCCTACGAATACCCAAACACACCTTTTGATGGTGGGTCTGGAGTTCTCATTTTCTCGAGGACTTTCAGCATGCATGCTAGTGCCTTGTGCAGTTACTTACAAAATTTAACGGTCTTTTTTCAGCCACAGTTTGAATGGTCTTTTTGTACATCCTACTTCAAGGAAATTACAATGATGGCAAAAGATAGGGTAGAGAGCAGGAAATATTTTGCTAAATTTATTCATGTGCATTGTTAAATGAACAAATAATAATGAAATCCTAAATAACATTTTAACCACTCAAAATATCATAACTCTTCTTAAGTCCTTGGGGGCTTTTTTGTTATCAAAGAATTAATTTAAATAACCGAATTGCTCTTGATTCACACTTAAAAATTACAATTGAATTTTTGCAAATTTAATAAGAAAAGTTATAAATTTTTAAACAAAACTTGTCAATAACAATTAATATTTGTAACACTTAAGGAATATTAAAATTTTAAATGCAAACTTGCGAATTACTGATGAATATTTACAATTTTAAGAATAAAAATTGTAAATTTTAAAACAACTTATGAATAAAAATTAATATTTAAATTAAAAACAATTTAATCATTTACATTAATTCTTTAATAACGAAAAAGTCTCTAAAAAATTTAAAAAAATTATAACATTTTAAAAGATAAAAATATCATTTATATTATTCAAATGAATTTTATTGTCATGTTCTCTTGCAAAATTATTGGGATTCTGATAACACAGCCCATAAATTGCCTCTTACGTATTGTCTTTCAGTCTGACCACGTCAGATTCACGTCGTATGGAATTATAGTAAGCAAACCATGTTATGCCAGATCTACCAACTGATCAAGTTTGTGTTCCTTAACATGCCATACGTAGCACTAAGTCCTCTCGGGTCATCCAATTGAAACTATGTGTGATAAAAAATTTCCTGCATGTAAATAATTGGAGGTAGGAAATTGTTAGCTTACAAAATAGGTCACATGGGTATAGTTCCTATCCTATGCCAAACATAAAAGAAAAGGAGATGGGACCCACTGTGCATGAAACTAGCACGGGAGAAAAGTCCTCTTGCCAAGTAAGACCTTTGAAGCGTTTTTTTTCTTTTTTTGAATATGAAATATTACATTTATCTAACCAGGATACAAGAGTCATCAGGTCACAACAAAAGACTTAGGTCTCATTTAATTACTAGAAAAAAAATGAAATAGATTAAAAAAAATTAAAATGAAAACAAGCTAAATCACATTTCCCTATCATGGTAAGCATAATAAAGCTCGTAAATATATACTATAAATATGAAAATCATTACACCCTCTAAAAATCTCACAAATCATGATTTCAAATCTCATGAACTAAATTACCCCTTTCTCTTATGAATGTGATCACCTATCTTTTTTTTTTTATTATCTTATTTTGACCTTTATTTTTTCAAACAATTTCATGATATTCATTTCTAGTAGCCAAATGGACCCTAATCTTAGTATCATCCACCATCTCTTAAAAAAAGTAGAGGCTGAGCATAAGCGCAAAAGCACCCTGTTACATCAAAAGCATGCTGAGCTAGAAAATGAGCACAGAAATTAACCTCTCTATACATGAAATTAAGAGACACTACTATAAAATGATTCAAACACTCTACCACTCTAGCCCGCTTAATCACTCTCTGAAGGGATGTTGAGTACATCCAATCTAATCACAAGATCAATCACTTCAGCATGTTGACCTCTGAAGCTTTTAGCAATCATGCAAATGCTACTCTTTTTAAACATAAATAAATGACAACTAACACAACAGCATTAGATATCAATTCTTTATCGCCCTTCCAGTCAAAATAGGATTTATCAACAAAACAAGGTCACCAAAATTCTGAACCATTAGCCCTTGGATATAAATTCCTTCTTTGGTCAAAAAATACAGTAAGTAAAACTCTACATTCTAGGTGCCGAAATTATCAGTATATGATTACTCTGGATATTGCCAAAAGTGCAATCCGTTGATCAAATACCTGTAGGAAGAACACAACATAGTTCCGGTCATAACTCTCCTCTGGAATTATGCAGAGAACTGAAGGCCAAAAAATAAAAATAAATAAAAAAGGAAATAAAAGCTAGGATGAAAATGACGATAAACCATTATTGCATTATACGCTGTAAAAAATAGCATGGCATCAATATTACCACGTCAGTGATTGCCCTCAGTTGACTGAGCATTGGCATTGAAACCTTCATAGCCCCCAGATGATGCTGATGGATTGGCTTGATACATAGCTGATGACACCATGGAGGGGGTACCACTAGAAGTTGGCGTAGCAGCACTGCCCGGACCAGTAGCTGGGGGTGCTAGTGTAGAAGGCCTGGGTATAGCTGCTTGACCTGGTGCCATGGGAGCACCTGGTGGAGGTACCATGGGAGGCATGGTAGGTACAGAAGCATATCCTGTGAACACATTGAAAATCATTCAAACCACACATGGGTCGAATTAAATCTGGAAGAAAACCAAAATTGTAGAGAGAACTAGCACCGATAAAAATGGTCACGCAGAAGAAATGTGAAATTTGGCTAAAAAGGCAAATGTAGTAATGGAAACAAGAATATATTATGATGGAAAATCATTTAAGATGGAGATGATCGTAGTCATTGGCATCGCATAGGTAACTGCAGACATTTACATGTAAAATGCAAAAACATGACAACCATGCCTGACCCGTGCCTCAATAGAAAGAGAGGACAAAAATAGTTAGGTCAAGAAACGAGTGCCAGGGAGTATTATCCACCTGGAGCACCAGGAACTGGTCTAGGCAACATGGGAGGTCTGATCCCTGGCATTAGTGGTTGACTTCCCAGAATTTGAGCATTTCCAGCAATTGGCACTCCTGGTGTAGGCAAGATTGGAAAGCGAGGCCTCTGAGTCAGCAGGTGCTGATTAAAAGCTGCACCAACCTGCTGAAATGCTGCAGCTTGCCCAAGATGTTCCTTGATCCTTTGGTCAATTAGGCTCTGGGTTTGTTGCTCCTCAAATTGCTGGTAGTAGGTTCTCACATTTGCCTGTCATTAAGAATAGGAAGTAAAAATGAGTAGAGTGAGAGAAAGAGAGAGAGAGAGAGAGAGAGAGAGAGATGTCATGTAGTGTATAGACCGTAAAAATGAGGAAATTATTTGTACACAGACACAGTACCTTATGTTTGTAACCTGCATTATGCTGCTTTCTTACTGATGGCTGCAATATAAGACAAATACTGTTAGCAAGAGATAAATGCAGACAATAAATTCTCATGGAAGTATACCAAACATAAGCATCCAGGCTCCAGCATAAGAACAGCATTCTAAAATGGTGAACATAATAATGTTGTGAGTGAAAGCAGCTTGTCTCAACAAGGCCAGGCGCTATTGAAGGCTAGCACCTCTCACATCATGAGGTGCTGCCTTCAACTTGGCCTGTCAAGCAAACGCCTTCAGCATATTTTTCTTTCTTTTTTCTTTTTTTCTTTTCCCACGCATGTTAGGAAGGAGTTGAAAGGATACTTGGAAAGGAAAAACAGAACCAAACAACATATGATAAACCTTCAAATATTGATTTTGAAATGATTGGCAATGCCATTGAGACTGAAAATATTGACAAGAACACAGGCAGACAAGGTAAGAAGTGTGGTACTATTGTCAAAGAAGCCTGGGCAAAAAGGTCCAATAAATTCTTTTGTAAGAATAAAATTGAAATTAGTAGTTTAATTCTAGAAAGAAGGGAAGTTGCAATAGTCAAACTTCATAAATTAGTTAAGGTAAAGACTCTGGTGTATCAATAAATTGGTAGGTTTATATAAAACGCTAGGATTTCACTCAGTGTTGCTTGAATGGAAGCTTTTATAAGTAGATGACTAAAGCCATTGGACAATATGGGCCCAATCTGAACCCCAAGTTACCCCAAGGTGATGGCCCCAATCTGAATCCCAAGTTACCCCAAGGTGATGGTCCCAATCTGAACCCCAAGTTACCCTAAGGTGAGGGCTCCAATGTTACAGAAAGTTGAGCTCACTAATGATATGATGCAAAATCACAAAGATTTACGGAAAGAACAAGGGTGCTCTGTTATGTCGAATGGGAGCTCATTGCTTGACTAGTTAATGTAAAATCCATTGACACATAATCAAATGTGAAAACAATTAAAAAAGTCAGATTAAGCTGGCAAAGAGAATGGCTACAGAAGCTTAATGATCATGGATCCAACTTTAATGCAGTTGCTGGGTTATTAGAAATGACAAGGCACTCCATTTACTGGACACCCTGTGTAGCACAGTGCTTATATTTCATTAGAAGATATTGGAAAAATACTTAGAGTATCAAGAACTATAGAAAGGGCAATGAACTTGACTAGTTAGACATATATCAAAGAAGAAGGATATCGTCAATTAGTTCGAAGATGAAGAAGGGGCCCTGTCAGTGAGTTTGAAGCATAAGAAGGCCACCACCATCAGTGAGTTCAAAGAAGGCGGAGATGATGGAAGAGGCTGGCAGTGGAGATGAGGGGAGAGGTGGATAGTGCAGTGGAGATGGCAAAGAGGGGAGAGGGGAGAGTTGTATGACAGGAAATGGGAAAGGGCAATTGTGGAATGGGAAATGGTAGCAAGGTGCAATGAAGATTCATAGGGCGGAGGTATGAATGAGTATTAAAATTGATTTGGCAATGATAATCACATTGGCCCACATGAAAAGGAAACCAAACAGCTCTCCCAATGGTAATGCAATCCTTATTACCATTGCTAAGTTGCAATGGGGTTGAACAGTACAGGCTCTTAGTAATGATCATCAAAATATAACATGAGACAACAAGAGCAACAGGCATTGGAAAAGCAAACAGCCAAACAAGAAGCCAGACTAAAAGAGCTAGCTCACCAAAATCAAGCACAAAGGCAGCAAAATATTCAACTTCAGTTGCTAACATGGAAGGTATAGCAGTTGATTCAAAGGAGTAAGGGATTGTTCAGTAACAGATGTCCGATAATGGAGATGACAATTATGGATTTGAATCTAATGGTTCAAGTAACAGGCTATACGGCTTTTCTTTTTTATTTTAATTTCTTCTAAGATTTTTTTTTTTTTGACATGACTGGTACACTTTTTTTAATTATTTTGTTAATGGCTTGGGCTACTTCACTTTTGAAGTCATAAAGTTAAACCATATTTGCACGGAACCTAAAATAAGTCACAATATTAATGGCTTGGGCTACTTCAATTTTTTTTTTTTTAAATATCTTGTTAATGGCTTGATAGTTGTGATTACTATGGCTCTTTGTACTTTTTCTATTTTATAATTTATATTGACTTGTTCACTTCATATTTTGACATATGGTTTAAACTATAACTTAAGAATTACAGTTGATACTATGATGAGTCATGACTTCTTGATGATTATGTTTTAGTAGTGGTAATGATGACTTAATTAATACATTTGAATAGTTAATTCATTCGTATGCAAATATTATTCCAAACCTATGCATTATTCTACATAGCATACGTTTTTTCTAATCTAAGTCTGGCTTAATGAGAACTTGCACCTTTTCTTGCTTCACCTGGGCTTATGCCTTTTTATGCATTGCCCCTAAGATGTTTTAGAGGTCCAACGCTTTGAACACGATTATGGACATTGTCTATTTTTTGTATCAATATCTATAGCGTTCTGATCAGAATAAACATATGGATTGACTGCAAACGGAAAATAATAACGGCATTGACAAGCATGAGCTTGAGTAAACAAGAATAAAGCTGTCCCAAAACTATAATCAAGATTATATCAGTGAATAACTGGTGCAAAGTATTCATGAGCCATAGAACTTACTGAGTCATGGGTCAGATAAGTGTCACAGTAGTCACAGTAGTACCTGCATATTCGATTAAAAAATTTGTTGACAAGTTTTTCTATAATCAACCACTTATAACACAGAGTACACACCTAGGCATCGTTGTTTCTATGGCAACTCCGCAGCTAATTGCTGACACAAAAATAATCCTAGCCACAGAACCAAAAAAAAAAGAAGAAGAAGAAGAAGAATGAGATCTTTTGCGAAGTGAAGGAAGATGAAGACGGTTTCGCCAAATTGACAGACTGAAGAGAAGGATGTTACCTGAGCTTGCAAATAGAATCAAGCCCTAGGTTTTGCTGAATTTGTAACTGTGCTCGTAGCTGACAAGAATGCCACCAATGGAATGGCCAGCAGAAGACTCAGACAGAGGACCTGCAACGTCGTCTATGCGCCCTATCGCCAAAATTGTATCTGGCTCCTCCGTGATCATTTACTTCATATCCCCCAGCAGAGATGGATACCCCTGCATCGCCAAAATTGTTCGAAATTAAGAAGGGCTAAATTTGACCCCAACAAAAAAAAAAAAAAAAAAGAGAAGGGCTAAAAAGGTCTTTTAATTTAATTAATTTTAACTTCGCATAGTATGACAACGTGACATATCCATATGAATTTTTTGAAAAGAAAATGATAATAAATTTTTTTAAATTAAATAAATAATAATTTAATATCTTAAAATGCTTTCTATCATTAATAAATTTATATAAATAATTAAATTGTCTTTGTTGAAAATAAAAATTTAATCACAATTTTTTTTATATTTACAATAATAAATCACAAATTCAAATATCAAAATCTTGATATTGCTACAAGGGTTTAAAATAACAAATAATGATATTAAATTTTATTTAAATAATCACAATTTTTTTATATTCATAACAATGTAATAACAAATTACAACTTCACATATCAAAATTTTGGTATTGCTACTACAAGTGTTGAAAATAACATGTAATGATTACAAATTGTTTAAATAATCACAACTTTTCATTTTATATTTATAACAATGTAACAGCAAATCACAAATTCACATATCAAATTCATGATATTGTTACAAGTGTAAAAAATAACAAGTAATGATTACAAGTTTTATTTAAATAATTACAACTTTTTTTCTTATATTGATAACAATGTAATGGTAAATTACAACTTCAAATGTTATATTTTGATATTGCTACAAGGGCAATTTGATGGTCATTTGTATAAATTTATTAATGATAGAAAAATCTTTAAGAACTTCAATGGAATAATGGCATTTTAAAGGATTAGATTGTTATTTATATAATTTAAAAAAATTTTATTATCATTTTTTATTTTTTAAACCATCAAAATTTAAAAACAAATTGTTAACAATTATTGTTAATTATTATTAATATTAATTTTTAATTAATTAATTATTTAATTAATTTATAGAGAGTGATTCAATTGTTCTATCAATATATTTATAGATAAATTGACCTACTGGTTGAAAAAAAATCTTATGCTTAAAAAATATGGATAAAATGTTTAAAAATTTAGGACTATGACTGGTTCATATTGATATTCAATAGTTTATTTTTAAAAATTTAAAAATTTATAAAGGGTTTATTATTGATATATAATTGTATATCATGGACAAATATAATAAATCAGCCATAATGCAAAATTAATAAATGTTGGGTTATTTGTTTAGTTTAATTCTATAATATGGGCTATATATGCAAAAGGCTCATTTATTTTAAAGTTATCTTTACAAAAGATTGTTTTTCAATTTTATTTGAGTAGAAATTTATATGCTTAACCTTATGCCTCTTTCCAATCAAATTAAAATAAGTGATTTTCCCATCAAACTACACATGTTCTCCAATCAAAGTTATATATTTATACATGCTTTCCAATCATACTACAAGTGAGATTTAAATATTATTTCAAAAGTTGAAAATGTTTTTTAAAAATTTTGTTATAGTAGTTAGGGGTAAAAATACGCTTTCCAATTTGAATGGAAGAAACATGTTAGTTTCAAGGAAAATTAGGGTGAAAAGAAAGTAAAATACACATTATTGTTAAGGTAAAAGTTGAGTTATGTACTTAGAGCCCATTTGTTTCAACTTATTTTATAACAAAAATCACTTATTTTTTTAAAGAAATCTATTTTATGAATTTTATAATGTTTGTTTAAATTTTTTAAAATAATCAAAACCTTAAAAAAGCATATTTTTTTATTATTTTAAGCATATTATCTCAATCATTTACCTGCTTATGAAACAATTTTCTGTTACCCTATCAGTTAAATTAAAAAAAGATTTTAGACTTGCCTATCATAACAATCTGAGTTACTTGACCTTAATAGAACACTTGCAACTGTAAAATTAACACCCTAAATTTTAGATTATTTAACACCAAGTAACCCAAGCAATTGAAAGTAAGGATAAGAATCCCAATTGGAATAAATTAAGTACTTACATCACACTTAATCTTTCCTGGTTGTTGGGGTTAGACAATTGATGCTATTCCCACCTAAGACTGGAAAGCTAGTTACATGGAATAATTGGATTGAATATGAGTACAATCATATAATGATATCTTGTGAAAATCACAAGAATTTAAGTACAATATATGGATACTTCTTTACAAGTTTAATAACAAGCACAATATTTTTTTTTCAGCAATCTTGTTTGCAGTAGATACTATCATTGAGGGTAAGGGTTGGGTGTAAAATCCAAATATTGCCCTCCTAGTTCTAGAGGTTAGAATAGATAGGATGTAGGGTCCGTTTGGATTTCAGTTGGGTATAATAGATTATGAAAATAATTGATTAAGTGGTAGATTTTAATCATAATTGATTATGTTATAACGCAATCTGTTTGGATACTCATGTTAGTAATTTTTTTAAAGATTCAAATTTTATTAAGAAAAAAAAGAAGAGAAAAAATTTTGTTTTAGTTTTATTAAATTTTGTGCTTTTTTTGTGATTTTTTTCTTGGACTTTTTATGTAATTTGCTCATATAACTTTGTAACAAAAAAATGCAAAAGCGGAGAAGCTGAGATTTGGAGCATTGGGAAAAAATCAATTTTTTGGGAAAAAATCGATTTTAGAAAAAAGTAAATGTTTGGGTAAATTATGGCTTAATCGATTTTTTTGTTCCTAAAATTGATTAAATCCTCAATCCAAACGGACAGGTAACATCTTGAATTTCAATCTCAGGAACTAGTTGTTAATTAGGAGTAAATTAGTAATTAGGGGGTTGATTGTGATTTGAATGTTGAGCTAATAATTAGTGTTGATTGGATGTTGTAATGATAGGATTGAAGGGTAGAAAGACAATTTGGGGCAAGACGTGTGAGCATAAGTGAGAATTTTCTCACAGTGCCACGAGTCGTGGCACACTGTTCAGGAATCACCTAAAGCTAATGTGATTAGCTCTTGAAATCAGAAAGGAAAAGGCTGGAGACGCATCTAGAGAGGAAGAGAAGGCTACTAGGGCAAGCCATAATTGGAGCTCGGGAGTCTGCTTCATTTGATAACTTGTTGGGTAAGTATTGCGCAATCCTAAGTTCAATTCCACCTTTTTTTTATTTAATTTCATCAGTTGAGAAATCAAATTATGAGATTCTAAGGCGTTGTAATATAAAAGAAAAGGTTAAAATAGAATATTGAATACAGAACTGAGGTTTTGTGACTAGTATGGAGTTGAATGGTTGGGCTTTGAAGATTTAAGCTCATTTGGCCTAAGAAAGTTAGGTTAAATGAAAAATTTTGGTTGAGTGATGTGTTGGGAGATTGTTATGGTTGTTTGAGTAGTCTATAAGGCTAATGACTGATAAGTGAATTGAAAATGGTTCAATTGAACTGTTTTATACTTTAAGGGATTTGATTTAGCCAAATCAATACTTGTAAAAAGTGTTGAGAATTGACTAAGGGGCACTGTATTGTGTAAATTGAGCACATGTGAAGTTGTTGGTGAGAATCTGTGCCCCTAGGAGCTTAGTGTGGTTGGTAACCCTTAATAGTAAGAGTTAAAGATAACTAGAGTAACCCTTTTATTTATTTGTTTGTGAAATTATTTACAAGTATTTTGATATAATTACGTGTATTGTATTGTGAATTGATAGAGTAGTAACATTATGAAAGCATATGCATGTGGGTGTGCGATTATTGATAGAGATAAATTTGAAGTAACACGTGCACTGACATGTATTGCATTCGTGAGATATACCCTGGATTATGGTTGGGGGAAGCGGCCCTACCATAAGGAAGTCTAGAAAGTCCTGATGATCCAGAGTGTAGAACTTGACTTTGCCAGGACGGATTTAGGAGAAGAATTTTGATGATCTAGAGCATAAAGCTTGACTCCACCATGATGGACTTAGAATATTGAATGATCCACGAGGTTACCCTAGACTAGGGTAAGGAGTTGTGGTCCTACTCTATATAAGGTTAGGAAGTCCTGATGATCCAGAGCATAGAGTTTAATTCTGTCATGAAGGATCTAGGAGACTACCTATATGCAAAGAGGATTACCTGGTGTGAGCAGTGGTATGGTGGGCCTTATTCCTTGTTACTAGAAGTCTTGGTTCGGGTGTAGAGATTACTCTACCAGGGGAAACTAGGAATGCATTGCATGAGCATAATAAGATTAATAAGAGTGAATTCTTGTATATGCATTTGATATTGTTTTATTTGATATACATGTTACTTTATCGCTTGTTAATGATTTTGCTTACTAACCGGTAATTGGGATTACCTTTGAATTACTAGTATGTATGTTTTACTCCGTTAGTTTTGAACACATGTGAAGAGAGCACGAGAAGACTGGCAAAGGAAGCAAGGAAAGAGTAGCTTCATTTGATAGTGATATGACTATCTTTAAGTAAAAATGAATGTATAATATGTTGATAGAGTTAAGTTGCTAACTAGGATGCATAAGTATACATGAATATGAGAAAGTTAATTGTGTTGTGAAACTTGCTTATATATATGTATATGATATTGCATTGAGTCGAGGGTGTCCTAGTGGAGGGTACGTGGATAGGCCTAAATGCAAAACAAGCAAGTATGTTGTGTTGTAACTTGTTCCACTTGTGTATATATGTGTTGATTGTGAATTGAATGTGGATTGTATTGCTATGTGAGAAGTTAACACAAATGGTGAGAACTTGACACAAATGGTGAGGCAGAGCCCCATTTGAAATAGTCAAGTACATTTGTAATTCTCGACCATATGGTAAGGTGGAGCCCCATATGTAAGAGTCCGAGGGTTGAAAGTGGAACAAGTGTAGTTGTGTTTATGAATATGTGTTGTATATGTATTTTCCTCATATAAGACCACAATTGTATAATATGGCTTTGAAAGGTGAAGATGGGCTATTGATGTGATATATGTGTATTGCATTGTTAATTAAGTGTATGTGGTCCTTTTAAACTTGGTTCAAGGCCTGAAGTGGTCTAATGGGACAAGAAATGATAATTAAGCAATTAGG